ATTCTGTTCTACACTCTCTGTCATTCTGTTCTATACTCTCTGTCATTCTGTTCTACACTCTCTGTCATTCTGTTCTACACTCTCTGTCATTCTGTTCTATACTCTCTCTGTCATTCTGTTCTACACTCTCTGTCATTCTGTTCTATACTCTCTGTCATTCTGTTCTACACTCTCTGTCATTCTGTTCTATACTCTCTGTCATTCTGTTCTACACTCTCTGTCATTCTGTTCTACACTCTCTGTCATTCTGTTCTATACTCTCTCAGTCATTCTGTTCTATACTCTCTCAGTCATTCTGTTCTATACTCTCTGTCATTCTGTTCTACACTCTCAGTCATTCTGTTCTACACTCTGTCATTCTGTTCTATACTCTCTCTGTCATTCTGTTCTATACTCTCTCAGTCATTCTGTTCTACACTCTCTGTCATTCTGTTCTACACTCTCTGTCATTCTGTTCTACACTCTCTGTCATTCTGTTCTACACTCTCTGTCATTCTGTTCTATACTCTCTGTCATTCTGTTCTACACTCTCTGTCATTCTGTTCTATACTCTCTCAGTCATTCTGTTCTATACTCTCTGTCATTCTGTTCTACACTCTCAGTCATTATGTTCTATACTCTCTCTGTCATTCTGTTCTACACTCTCTCAGTCATTCTGTTCTATACTCTCTGTTCTATACTCTCTGTCATTCTGTTCTACACTCTCTGTCATTCTGTTCTATACTCTCTGTCATTCTGTTCTACACTCTCTGTCATTCTGTTCTACACTCTCTGTCATTCTGTTCTACACTCTCTGTCATTCTGTTCTACACTCTCTGTCATTCTGTTCTACACTCTCTGTCATTCTGTTCTATACTCTCAGTCATTCTGTTCTACACTCTCTGTCATTCTGTTCTACACTCTCTGTCATTCTGTTCTAAACTCTGTCATTCTGTTCTACACTCTCTGTCATTCTGTTCTACACTCTCTCATCTCTTTATTTTTGGACACCAAAGCCATGAATATTTTACATTATTCTCTCTCATGCATTATGTATGATTACAAAAGTTGAATGCATCAATACATGTAAATAATGTAAATCACTTCTGAAAGTTACTTTCCATAATACAAATATTGAATATAGTGTAAAAACCCCACAGATGTTAAAACAGTATTTAATCATCGCTGGTGGAGCTTAAAAATCACGTCGTAACGTGGAAAGGACATAAAAACAAGGAAGGAATACTTTATCCTATCCCAGGTATTCCTTAAAGAGGTGGGGTTTCAAATGTCTCCGGAAGGTGGTGAGTGACTCCGCTGTCCTGGCGTCGTGAGGGAGCTTGTTCCACCATTGGGGTGCCAGAGCAGCGAACAGTTTTGACTGGGCTGAGCGGGAGCTGTGCTTCCGCAGAGGAAGGGGAGCCAGCAGGCCAGAGGTGGATGAACGCAATGTCCTCGTTTGGGTGTAGGGACCGAAAAGTGAACCGAAAAGTGATGTTCACAACTAACATTATATTGACAACGTAAGCTAGAACATCAACACAGAAACCATGTGACACAAAGTCTCAACCATAGAGACAGGTGCAGTTATCTATATATGGTTTAATAATGATAAAGACATTGAAGAACAGCAGTAAGTGCCTTCACTCTCCATAAAGTCTTACGCTGTGTTCCAATAGTATCACATAGCTTCCTTCCTTCACATCCACTGATCGGATAGTACCCAGGAAGAAAACGATCGAAGAGTATTGGGACGCAGCCTGTGCTTGACTTGGGCAGGAGCTCACTGGAGCTGAGTATCGGCACCTCAAATGTTCTACTGTTTGAGCTCCTGCTCCTCTCATAGAATTTGAGCTAAAACATTTTGTGGAGCTCCTGCACCTAAATATAAACAGTACCGGAACCTATTTCAGTCTAAGTCAAGCGTAGGACGCAGCCCCATTCAAGCTCACACTCCAACGTCAAGTGAAGTGTATAGGGCCTCGGGGGGGTTCCAGCACACCTCTCATGCCTCTGTCTCAGGTCGTTTTATTGTAGTCATTAGTAGGAAACTGGGGTTATAGCGCTTTCCACACTCAATTATTGAAAGGGATCCTCCCTCAGAGCACTTGGCCAATCCAGTTGAGTGTACTGTCCTGACTGGGCCCTTTGGGGCTCATCTAGTGCATACTGACTGGGCCCTTTGGGGCTCATCTAGTCCATACTGACTGGGCCCTTTGGGGCTCATCTAGTCCATACTGACTGGGCCCTTTGGGGCTCATCTAGTCCATACTGACTGGGCCCTTTGGGGCTCATTTTTGGGGTCATCTAGTCCATACTGACTGGCCTTGGGCTCATCTATCCATACTGACGGGCTTGGCTCATCTTCCTATGACTGGGCCCTTTGGGGCTCATCTAGTCCATACTGACTGGGCCCTTTGGGGCTCCTCTAGTCCATACTGACTGGGCCCTTTGGGGCTCATCTAGTCCATACTGACTGGGCCCTTTGGGGCTCATCTAGTCCATACTGACTGGGCCCTTTGGGGCTCATCTAGTCCAGCCCCCATGCCATATTGCCCTACTGACATATAAGAGTCTATTGAACCGAAAAGTGATGTTCACAACTAACAAATAGCATTAACACGAGACAGAGACTGTATGGTACAGTATGTAAAGATAACTATGCATTCATTCTAATACTCAGTCATTTTTCAACACTGGGTGATATTAACGTTTCCAACATGCAACAGATGTTGTTTTTTTACCTTTGTACAACAGAGCACAACATGTACTCAATGGTCTGCCCTCACTTTACAGTCTGTCCCTGGTTCCATCGACAATCATGCACTTCTCTACTTACTTGTCTATGTATTGGCACAGTGACTTGATCTAGAAAACGCTAAACAAACCCTCAATAACCCCTGTCTACCTACAGGAATGCAAACAGGTGTGAAAACACCTACATGGCTGAAAAGCAACTGATAATTATCCTATAAAGGTTTGTATTGTTGTCTGCCATACTGTAGAGAGCTCATCCATGCCCACTGCAGGCATAGTGTTACTTGTGGACAGAGGAACCAGTTGTATAAGACTCTTAACAGTCTGAGATCCAATACTGAGTTTTAGTTTCCCTCATATTCACCATTAGTGGCATTTAAAGTACTTTGAAACCCTATTATGAGACAGTATTCTGCCAGAATCCTGGTGCATTAAGTAACACTAGAATATATTCCTAGAATTACTGGAACATTAATAGAACGCAGTAACACGAGATGCAATGTATTCATGTGCCTTTACTGCAGATTCAGAACACGAAAACATTTTATTGATATGAATGGGAGCGGTCAGATGTGAGTATGCATGAGTAAATGTACATAAGTAAAATGTAATAAAACTGTAGCGTTGAGTTATGGTGCTCAAGAGACTAGGAAAATAGCTAATGTGTCAATACTAGCTTACGGTTAGGGATATGGTATCATTCCATCACACTCCATGGGCGTAATAATATCTATTTACAATTCTCTTCAGCCTATTCTTTACAATATGGGAGTGTCCAACTGTCCATGCCTTCGTATGAGGCAGAGTATACACCCAGAACCGAGAGCTACTGTATGGAAAACAGCACTAGGCTTGGGTCGAGTTCATTAGGGCAAACTAAAACGAAAAATTAGCATTTCTTATTGGACAAGTTCAGGTAGTCTTTTCCTGTTTCAGTCCGTTTGGTGCCTACTGAATACAACCCAGCGTTGTGTATTTCACTGCGGTGACCGTCTCTTCCTTTCCCCTGCCGACTGTAGGAAGACGAGACTCCTCTGGAGACAGAGGAAACCAAATCACCCAGGCTCCAGCCAGGCCCCCAGTCAGAGCTGGAGTCTGGCCCAAAACCAGCTTAGACACTGGGGTCCATTTCAGAGCGGCAGCCTGTGAGCCCTGGAGCCCCAGGAGACAGGCTGGCAGCCACAAATGCACTTTCAGTTCCAGGCCATTCCAGCCCCAGACATCATCGCCACCGGTCACTGAGCAGGTATTCATCGCATCTGGCTCCGAGTCCCGACGACCGTGACTGACATGGCATGAATCTCCTAGTCTCCTTAGTTTCCAGGAAGGCAGTGGACAATGTAGGCTATTCATCCTCTTTCATAGGGCTCACGCAGCAGACGTTCTCACTCCTCCAGACTCCAGTGTTGTATGTATGCCATTGCCAGGTAATCCAACGGTTATGCTCTCACGCAGACAGGCAGGCACGCACATTCTGGCTCCTCCAGTATTGCTGTCTGTATCACAGGTATTCCAGCAGTTATGTGGCTAGGGCTGTTGCTCTTACAATTTTCCCTGGGCAGCAAAGTGTGGTAAAAACATCCCTTTAATATCCTGGGCAGCAAAGTGTGGTAAAAACATCCCTTTAATATCCTGGGCAGCAAAGTGTGGTAAAAACATCCCTTTAATACCCTGGGCAGTAAGGTGTGGTAAAAACATCCCTTTAATACCCTGGTCAGTAAGGTGTGGTAAAAACATCCCTTTAACACCCTGGGCAGTAAGGTGTGGTAAAAACATCCCTTTAATACCCTGGGTAGTAAGATGTGGTAAAAACATCCCTTTAATACATGTATGCTTTACAACTGGGGCGGTCAAAAAGCAGAGGGAGGCCTTCTCCCTCTCTTCTCCCTCTCTTTTCACTCTCTTCTCCCTCTCTTCTCCTTCTCTTCTCCCTCTCTTTTCACTCTCTTTTCTGTCGGGTTGTGATGGGTGGCATTCCTCCCTGTGGTTTCATCCCTTCTTTCTTTATGGAGACTTCCTTAAGTGCACTGGTCTGTATATACAATTACAGTTTATGGGACATGAGTCTCTAGTCCTCAGATCACAACACATCAAAGTGGTTCATAGGTCAAAATATCATATCACAAGAAATGACCAGGAAAGCGAGAAAGCGTTTTTTTTTTTTTTCTTTGAATGAGTTGCGTTCAAGAGAGTCCGTTCCAGCCTTTTTGTTTCCCAGGTGAGTGACGTAGTAAGGGCAGGGTGTAGGATTATTCCATGACTAGTCAGTCCCCTAGTTTATGGACATAGTTCACTGGGAATGTCCCACTTCTGGATGGATAGCCCTCGATGTGGCCGACCTGGAGGAACAGAAACAATCAAGATCACTGACCAAAAAGATAGAAAATACAGAGGTAATATATTTGAGATAGAGGGACATTAATGAAAGGGCTATGCCTATTGATTTTGTTTCTGCCAAGTGTTTATGCAGAAGGAAAACCCTCCAGTTGTCTTTTTTTGCGATAATATATAGGTTAAAACATTTTGGTTGGCTTAATACAGCAAGGCAAATAGCTCAACTTTCTGTTTTAAACCTGTGCTTATTAAAAGTAAAAAAACAAATATACATAGGTAAATAAATAGGTAAGAGGTGTAGTTCTACTCACCCACCAGTGGGGGTCCTCGGTGGCTGTTACTAAGATGACCTCATCCTTGAAGAAGGCCAGCTGGTCCGAGCTGACGGCTCTGCAGTCCACCAGCGCCTTGACCCTCTTCTGGGTAGGCCTCCTCTGAGACACCTGACACATCCACACGCTGCTCAGTCACGCTCTTATACATACTAGTGCCCTGCTACTGTATTACAGACAACCGATCTGGACACGGAACAGCGTTATCGTGACATAAATTGACATTTAATAGTGATGTTGATGGATAATAATGCCAACCAACAATGGGTTACATGTAGCAGCAGCTGAAGAAAATGTATTTGAGTACAAAAATATATACATTTTTTATATTTCACGTATCCTAAAATGCATCCCAAAAATATATTTTACATGTATTTTTTTCTCTCGTATAGGAGCATTATTTGTTTCATTCCATGCTCTAGCTAGCAGATCATATAGAGATGCCATTCCCACTCAGATACTCGTGGTTTTGTTGTTACAGAAGTTGGCGATGTTTGAAATGATGCTACACTATTAGCAGTAAGGTCATGTTGTGTGTACTACCATAGCGTTTCTGCGAGGGCGCACAGTGATGGGTGAGGAGGAGGTGGGTTTGGCTTCAGGTGTGGCGCTGGGGGCGGGACCATTCGTTACGACTGACAGCTCCTCCTGGCTGCCCAGTGCCACACAGCTGGGTGAGGTCACAGCTGCAGAACACTTCCCTTGTCCTCCGCTGCTGGTCCGCCGGTACGACGTTGTTTTCTCTGAGCTGGGGAGGAGGAGAGGACAGGTTGGTAAAACACAAGGACTTCACCTACTCACAGATTCACAGGACACATACAGCACCTACATGGTTCACACTGGATTTAGATAGTTTGTTGATAATGGAAAATCTGTTGATAAGCAACTGCTTGCTAATAAGGTTTCCAGGATGGAGAAAAAAAAAATTATGCACTCACTACTGTAAGTCGCTCTGGATAAGAGCATCGGCTAAATGACTAAAATGTAAAAATGTTACAGTTAGGGTTAAGATTAGGGTTAGTAGATAGTCTGTAGACTGTCCAAATAAAAGTGTTACCAACACATGTATTTTCATGTAATGTAACCCAGTATGCATGTAATGTAATACAATTGAAAAGGTTTGTAATATTAATTATTTATTTTTTTGATTCCTTATCAAACACATTATTTTGCTCACTAGGATTTTTTTGTTGTTGACAGTGACAAAGTACAGTGAGGGAAAAAAGTATTTGATCCCCTGCTGATTTTGTACGTTTGCCCACTGACAAAGAAATGATCAGTCTATAATTTTAATGGTAGGTTTATTTGAACAGTGAGAGACAGAATAACAACAACAAAAATCCAGAAAAACGCATTTCAAAAATGTTATAAATTGATTTTCATTTTAATGAGGGAAATAAGTATTTGACCCCCTCTCAATCAGAAAGATTTCTGGCTCCCAGGTGTCTTTTATACAGGTAACGAGCTGAGATTAGGAGCACACTCTTAAAGGGAGCGCTCCTAATCTCAGTTTGTTACCTGTATAAAAGACACCTGTCATCAGAAGCAATCAATCAATCAGATTCCAAACTCTCCACCATGGCCAAGACCAAAGAGCTCTCCAAGGATGTCAAGGACAAGATTGTAGATCTACACAAGGCTGGAATGGGCTACAAGACCATCGCCAAGCAGCTTGGTGAGAAGGTGACAACAGTTGGTGCGATTATTCGCAAATGGAAGAAACACAAAATAACTGTCAACTTCCCTCAGCCTGGGGCTCCATGCAAGATCTCACCTCGTGGAGTTGCAATGATCATGAGAACGGTGAGGAATCAGCCCAGAACTACACGGGAGGATCTTGTCAATGATCTCAAGGCAGCTGGGACCATAGTCACCAAGAAAACAATTGGTAACACACTACGCCGTGAAGGACTGAAATCCTGCAGCGCCCACAAGGTCCCCCTGCTCAAGAAAACACATATACAGGGCCGTCTGAAGTTTGCCAATGAACATCTGAATGATTCAGAGGAGAACTGGGTGAAAGTGTTGTGGTCAGATGAGACCAAAATCGAGCTCTTTGGCATCAACTCAACTCGCCGTGTTTGGAGGAGGAGGAATGCTGCCTATGACCCCAAGAACACCATCCCCACCGTCAAACATGGAGTTGGAAACATTATGCTTTGGGGGTGTTTTTCTGCTAAGGGGACAGGACAACTTCACCGCATCAAAGGGACGATGGACGGGGCCATGTACCGTCAAATCTTGGGTGAGAACCTCCCTCAGCCAGGGCATTAAAAATGGGTAGTGGATGGGTATTCCAGCATGACAATGACCCAAAACACACGGCCAAGGCAACAAAGGAGTGGCTCAAGAAGAGGCACATTAAGGTCCTGGAGTGGCCTAGCCAGTCTCCAGACCTTAATCCCATAGATCATTTGTGGAGGGAGCTGAAGGTTTGAGTTGCCAAACGTCAGCCTCGAAACCTTAATGACTTGGAGAAGATCTGCAAAGAGGAGTGGAACAAAATACCTCCTGACATGTGTGCAACCCTGGTGGCCAACTACAAGAAACGTCTGACCTCTGTGATTGCCAACAAGGGTTTTGCCACCAAGTACTAAGTCATGTTTTGCAGAGGGGTCAAATACTTATTTCCCTCATTAAATGCAAATCAATTCATAACATTTTTGACATGCGTTTTTCTGGATTTTTGTTGTTGTTATTCTGTCTCCCACTGTTCAAATAAACCTACCATTAAAATTAGAGACTGATCATGTCTTTGTCAGTGGGCAAACGGACGAAATCAGCAGGGGATCAAATACTTTTTTCCCTCACTGTAGGTGTTCATTACTGTTAGAATGAGCTATGTGCTCAGCTTGTAGAGAAATGCTAGGCTTCAACAGCGGGCGCTGTGAGGTCATTTTACCTTGCAGTAAACTGCTGCCCGAACACACACAGTACAACAAAGGCAGTCATCTTCAGAACTGATGAATTCTCTCTCTTAACTCTAGGGTTGTCCATTTAAAAAAAACATGTTTGACTATTCATTTCTAATCATCAAATCATGAATAGAAACATTTTACTGTGAAGACACACAAAAGAGTGACCAGGAAGGAGTCTAACATTTGAACTAGCAGGAATAGAGGGAGTCTATCCGTCCTAATATTGCAAAACCAGACTGATCTCCTACTTTCTCTGTCAGTTCTGAAAGTATTTTAGGGTTACCTGACAGGTCCTATGTGGTTCTGAGGGAAGCTGGAACTGCTGTTAGACTTGGTGCTGTCTCTGTCTGAGGACCCTGACCCAGTAATGGCCTGACCCTCCCAGGCTGCGGTCTGTCTCTGTCCCCTCACCAGGCCCCCCTGGCCATGGGGTGATCTGGGTGGGCGCCCCCCCTGACTCTGGCCCTGGGCTCCCTGACCCTCCAGCATGGGGGAGGGGGGGCTGTGTCTGGGGCTGGACTGTGGGGCAGGGTTGGAGCAGCAGCGCTGGGGGGTTTTGCTGACCCCCTCCTGAGTGGACAAGGAGATCTGGGGGTCCGAGCGACCTGGGGGTGCGGAGAGAGGGAGACGGGATCAGGTGAGTGAGAGAGAGAGAGAGACACAGGAACAGACTGCCATACAAAACAGTCTCTTCCTCAATTTGTCCATCCTTGATTCCTCACATCCTTGCCTCCTTCTCAAAAGGTGAGGAAGATGCGAGGGAAGGTCCTCAAATACAGTTAAGAAGAAAATGGGATGGGATGAGAGGAGATGAGATGAGATGAGAGGAGATGAGAGGAGATTAAATGGGATGGGATGGGGAGATGGGATGAGAGGAGATGAAATGGGATGGGGAGATGGGATGAGAGGAATCACAGAAAGACAAGTTGAGATCGAGCCCCTATTTCAGTGTTTGCAGATCATGTGGAAACAGATTAGATGTGTGTGTTTACTGTAGGTGTGTGTCTGTGTGTGTCTGTGTGTGTGTTTACTGTAGGTGCGTCAGGACCAGGATGAAGAGGTGAGACAGCTCTCTCAGCTACGAGACTCCCTGAGACTGCTGCTACAGGTGGAGGGGAAAGAGGTACGGTTTCCACCACCACAGAACTCAAACACCCACTATAAACTATACTAGACCGCTTTCCAGGGTCTTGTTCATTAGCCACCAAACGGTGGAAAACTGACTCAAACAGAGGGGGACTACCTGGGCTATAACGTTCATGTTTGTGCGTTTGTTCACCTCTCATGATGGCTTTAGCGGGCAGCGGGGGTGGGGGCATGAGGACGCCAGATGGCGCGCTATTGGCGGGGGGGTTACGGTATAGGAAGTCCACGTTTTCATAGGTCTTACACGCCACGGGGGCGTTGGCGAAGCTCCAGCGGGAGGGCGAGGTGCCCACCACACCCCCGTTGGAGGGCAGAGGGGAGTGCAGGTTCCTGGGTAAGGGGTTCACCTGAAGAGTAGAGAGGGGGGGGGGGGGAGCTGGTCAGTATATGATGCCAAAAATGGCAAAAACAATCCCTAGGCCCTACACCCTAGGCCCTACACCCTAGTCCCTACACCCTAGTCCCTACATCCTAGTCCCTACACCCTAGGCCCTACCCCCTAGTCCCTACACCCTAGGCCCTACCCCCTAGTCCCTACCCCCTAGTCCCTACCCCCTAGTCCCTACCCCCTAGGCCCTACCCCCTAGTCCCTACACCCTAGTCCCTACACCCTAGGCCCTACCCCCTAGTCCCTACACCCTAGGCCCTACCCCCTAGGCCCTACCCCCTAGTCCCTACACCCTAGTCCCTACACCCTAGTCCCTACACACCCCCTTCTAACATCCACACCCCCCTTCTAACATCCACACCCCCCTTCTAACATCCACACCCCCCTTCTAACATCCCCCCTCCCCATTCGAACACCTCCCCCATTCTAACACCTCCCCCATTCTAACAACCCCCCCCATTCTAACACCTCCCCCATTCTAACACCTCCCCCCATTCTAACACCTCCCCCATTCTACACCCCCCCCCATTCTAACACCTCCCCCATTCTAACACCTCCCCCCATTCTACCCCCCCCATTCTAACACCTCCACCATTTCTAACACCCCCCCATTCTAACACCCCCCCCATTTGAAACACCTCCCCCATTCTAACACCTCCCCATTCTAACACCTCCCCCATTCTAACACCCCCCCCATTCTAACACCTCCCCCCATTCTAACACCTCCCCCATTCTAACCCCCCCCATTCTAACACCTACACCATTCTAAACACCTCCCCCTATTCTAACACCTCCCCCATTCTAACCCCCCCCCATTCTAACACCCCCCATTCTAACACCTCAACCAATCTTACACCCCCCCTTTCTAACACCTCCCCCATTCTAACACCCCCCCATTCTAACAACCCCCATGACTAAGTGTAAGTCGAGCGATAGTGAGTTTGTCCAGGGCTACAATAAAAATGTGCTGTTGGGAGTACTGGAGTACTGGGGTATTGGTTGTGCAGTGGTTAGTGTGTGTGTGTACCCTCTCCTCCAGGTCGTATTCGGTATGCCTGTGCGTGCGTGCGTGCATGCGTGTACCCTCTCATCCAAGTCATCTTCGCTGTCGTACATGTCCTGGCTCTGTGTCTCCCACATGTACTCCACATGGATCTGAGTGTTGAACTTCCCACTCTGGGCCAGCTCCAGCTAAAACACAAACAAACACACACACACACGTACGTACACACACAAACACACACACACAGGAACACACACACACACAAACAAACACACACGCGTACACACACAAACAGAGGAACAAAAACACACACAGGTCAGTTCAGCTACAAATCGATATTTTGCTCAGATTACAAACATAGCATAGCAAGTCAAGTCATTGCTCCTATCAGTACCTTTTAAATACTCAAAATATAATCCAGAAAATAAAAGAGGATATTCAAGCTATGGGACAAATGTTAAAAGCGCTGAAACAGTTTGTAGACATGGTATGGTGCTGGAGATAATGAATATGAACATTTATGTTAAAGTTGCCCTTTAACAGTCTGTCATGCAACTTCAGTCTTAGGTTACTTGGCTTTTCACTGTTTTAACAGGAATGAATGGATATCGTTTTCCAGTAAAACACGCAACAAGGTCATAAATGATAAGAGGACAGGAAATTAACAATGTCTTTCATTATGGACTTTACTATGAGAATTCAGCACCTAACCATAATCGGAGAGAGTCAGCATGTTATCTATTGTTCCATAAAGGAGAGGAAGACAGGAAATGGAACGGGTTCAAAGCAGGTTTAGCAGGGGAAGCCAGTAGGAAAATAAAGGTTGTATTTGCACTGGGAGTTAACTGTAAAGTCAGGGGTCAGTCAGTCCCTTTCTTGGCAAGAGCTCTCAAACGATGCAAATGACTCTATCACTAAAGACATTGATATGCATATTTATTGATTTAGTGTTTCGCCAATTTGTTGTTTATGACTTTGATGATGAACTGTCCATATAATTAGGCTAATCATATATTTTTTTACCTGTGTTTTATATCGTATGATATCACATTTTATGCTTGTTTCATCTTATGTAGCAAGAGTATGAAAACAATATATAAAAAATAAAATACAATAAAATGTATGCACTAACTGTAAGTCGCTCTGGATAAGAGCGTCTGCTAAATGACTTAAATGTAAATGTAATGTTCAAATAAACCTAAACCCAGTCAGTCAGCTCATACCAGTTCCACACACTGGGAGTGCTGCAGTCTCCTGGCGATGTCCAGAGCAGTCTCTCCTGATGAATTCACTGGATGGATGGATGGATGGATGGATGGATGGATGGATGGATGGATGGATGGATGGATAGATGGAGAGGGGGAGAGACAGAGACAGAGACAGAGAGAGACAGAGACAGAGACAGAGACGGAGAGAGCAGTTAAGTCTCCAACTGTGGTATCCCTATTGAACCCAACTGACAAGCACTAAAGGCACAGTGTGTGTACATACTGTATATATACTGTATGTGTGTGTATAGGTGTGTACCAGGTACCTGTGTGGAGGACAGCCTTTCCTTTGAGCAGCAGTTTGAGGCACTCTGTTTTGTGGTGCTGGGCACTGTAGTGTAGAGCGGTGTTCCCCTCTAGAGTCCTCTTCTCCAGACAGACACTTGTTAAGTGGCGACAGACAATTGGAGTCAATGTGATGTACATGTATGTCTTCAGAGGGGGCTGGTGTAGGTAAGACAGTACTAATGGTCAATTCTGGTGACAGAGAATCTGTCCCAGATGGCACCATATTCCCTACGTAGCACACTACTTATGACTATAGCCATATGGGCCCTGATCAAAAAGTAGTACACTATATAGGGCGACAGACAATTGGGACACGGCCAGAGTAAGGCTAGAGGAAGGAGTGCTGGGGTCTGTTCAGGAGCGTGAAATGTGATCATATCTGATGTACATCATGTGTTTCTATCTGCACCACTCTAAACGTTTCGCCTTGCTGAGTACACACCCCTGGGCTGTGTCTGAAGATGTTACTAGCAGTCAAATACTTGCCTCCTTGTTCCCTAAACTCCCTTCAAAGCTATTGGTGGAGGAGGTCTGAGGGAGGGACCTTGGATCCTCTCCCCCAATGCAATTTGGGCCCGATTCAGACTGGAGATAAGTTGAGATAACAATCAACATTTGTTGACTGAAATCAAAATGTTGAGTCTACTTATCTCAGGTCTGCATAGGGCCCACTAAGAGGGGGAAACGGAGGAAGCACAGATTATACGGTGAGTTTTCTGACACAGCCCTTGTGTAATCATGTTCTGGTGTTATTGAGGGGTCTGGTGTTATTGAGGGGTTTGGTGTTGTTTAGGGGTCTGCCGTTAGGGGGCTCTCACCTGTTCTGTATGAGGAAGTCCACCAGGGATAGAGAGCTCCTCTCCTCCAGTCTCACAGCCAAGTGAAGAGCTGTCTCTCTCAGATGCTAGAAGACAGAAGAAACTCATTAGGTACACCCACTGAGTGTGTGTGTGTGTGTGTGTGTGTGTGTGTGATGAATGAGCAATACAATGAACTGCTCCCCTCAGCTCTCTGGAGACATGAGCTCTGACCCAGAAAGCTGAAATAATAAATGAGACCCTGCCAACACACAACACACACACACAAACACACACACACATACATACACACACACACACACGCCACACACACAGATCAAAATGTGTGCATGACAGTACTATTACACACCCTTAGGAAGCAACAGAGGGTGAAATTGATCAAAGAAATGAAAAGAGAGGGAGAGAGAGGAAACAAGAGAGGAGAGGAGATATAAGGGTGTAAAATGAGAGAGGGATAGATTGAGTGTAATTACAGAGAGAGAAGGGAGTGGTTACTAACTACAGTTCTGAGCCTTCTGACTAACTACACACTCACACTTCACACACACTTCACTGCGAACACACACAAACACAAACGGCGATGTTTACAACATTACAATGTACAACAGTTGTAGTGGTTTATTTTGAGATACTACAACCACAGCAGTCTTCTGAAAGGAGAGGCCAGCCACAGCCAGATGAATCAAAGCAGTCTTCTGAGAGGAGAGGCCAGCCACAGCCAGATGAATCAAGCCCATAGAGGCATGTTAAAAGTCACAGTCTGGGATCTGGCAATTTGTTCGACGATCATTTTCATATTTTATTTGTTTTGTTCTTCAAATCCCAGAATGTAATTTTAAATGGAGCCTTCCGGCATTAGCTAGCTAATTAAATCATATGGGGCCGACCCGCTGCCTTGTGTTTGAATAATTTCACAGCTCGTAACATTAGAAACAGCATCCTAATGATATCTTGGAGGGGCACACACTTCAAAGCTTCCACTGGGAAGTTATCTTGGGAATTTCATACTCGATCCTACATGTAATATGACCATGTTCATGTTTATGCTGTGTGCTTGTGTTGGTGTGTGTATTTGTGTGTGTGGTGTGTGTGTTGGTGTGTGTATTTGTGTGTGTTGGTGTGTGTGTATTTGTGTGTGTGGTGTGTGTATTTGTGTGTGTTGGTGTGTGTATTTGTGTGTGTTGGTGTGTGTATTTGTGTGTGTGGTGTGCGCATGTATGCTTGTGCGTGTCCTATCCAGTACCTGTCGCAGTACTGTGTCTGTCTGCTGTGTGTGTGTGTGTGTGTGTGTGTGTGTGTGTGTGTGTGTGTATCTAAATGGGTGTATCTCTCTGCTATCTAGTACTAGGGCTGGCACAGTTACCGACGATTATGGATGAAGACCGTCGTGAAAATAAAAGAAGACGTCTTAAACGTCTTATTTTAATTTAAAAGTTTTGTAGAACGAACGGCTGACTGAAGACGGGACAGCCGGGCATTTGTGCGGTTGAGTTCGTTTCTGCGGTAACATGGACTCTTTACAAATTTGAACGATTATAACGGTGACCACGGTCATTTGGCTGACCATAACCGTCATCCACAATTCCATGACCGTCACAGCCTTATGTCTAGTACCTGTCCCCCCTCAGGCAGTGCTAGCGGCTTGGCCAGGTCCTCTCCCTGGGCGTACAGCTGCAGCAGGGCGGTCAGGTCCCGGCTCCTCACGGCATCGTACACACGCCACGGCTCACCGTCCTCCCCGTCCCGGTCCCTGCGCAACACGTAGCGCCGCTCCGCGTACTTGGCCACGATGTACTCCTTCCTGGCGTTCCTGGTTTCACAACCGGACAGAGCCATAGGTATGCAGCAACTGGTTAACTATATCCTCCATGTTTGCACCAGGGTTGGGTTCAATTCCATTTCAATTCAGTCGATTCAAGAACTGAATTTAAATGGAATGACCCCAACCCTGGTTGATATCGTTTTGGATTTTTTTGTGCCAATATGGCTTCCGTCAAAATGTGTTGTTTCAAACCAAGATTGCCCCACCAATGAGAACATGATTGAAGTATGAGGCTTATAATGGACTTACATGTCACTCTGGGGGAGGGGTTTGATGGAATCATTGGGAAGATTGGCCTCCATGATATCATTGAAGCGGGTGTTGCCTATACTGACTGCCAGCTGTGGACAGACAGACAGTGGAGGCGTTAGGATACAAGGTATGTGAGTACAGCTGTATAGGGACTAAACTTTCAGTGCATCATGAATATGAATGAAATACTACATATCTAACCCATGCCATTGTCACAACTATAAACCAAGTTAGCATGCTGAGCTAAAGCCAAGGCAGAGCTCAGCAAATTAACGCTTGTTTAGAAATGGAGGTGTGTATGTGTGTGTGTATGTGTGTATAGATCAGTGTGTGTGTGTGTGTGTGTGTGTGTGTGTGTGTGTGTGTGTATAGATCAGTGTGTGTGTGTATAGATCAGTGTGTGTGTGTATAGATCAGTGTGTGTGTGTGTGTGTGGGTGTGTTGGGACTAAGATGGGGTCAACATTACTAGTAGTTCGGAGGTGCTAAGCATGTCCAGTGTGAGGGACTGGATCCTGGAGTAGTGGACTCCCAGTTCCCTGTGGATCCCAGAACACTCTATACACGTCAGGATGCCCAGGTTAGTGGAGAGCCACGTGGGATCTGTTGACAACACAGGGACAGAGCATGAGGAGTAGAGTTAGCGCAGTTCAACACTGGGATTTATACTTAAGCAATAAGGCCTCGAGGGCGTTTAGTATATGTCCAATATACCTGGGCTAAGGGCTGTTCTTAGGCACGACGCAACGTAATTAGAGCAGTAAAAATAAAAATGTTTTGTCATACACATGGTAAATGGTGTAATATACCACGGCTGTCAGCCATTCAGCATTCAGGGCTCGAACCACCCAGTTTATAAATTGGGACTTACATTCCATCCCTACTGGCTGTGTCCTGATTCTCCACACGTCTCTTTAAGTGTGGAGACAGGACAAGAGCACAGCCTAAAGCCTCTCAATGAATCCTCCCACTGACTATCTCCTGTCCACCAGTCTCACCGTGGGCTCCACAGTCGGCGCAGGACTCGTTGCCGGGCATGTGTCTGAGCTCGGTGATGACAGCCCTGGCCAGCTCCTGCAGCCCGGAGTCTTGGAACTGCGACTGGTCCCCTCCCAACACCGTGTTCAGGGCTTCCTCCTTACTGTTCTGCAGCACCGACACCCAACTAGGGGAGGGGAGAGGAGGGAGGGGAGGGGAGGGGAGGGGGGGTGAAGAGAGAGAGAGAGAGATTAAACAATACAATATAGTGTTTATACAGGTATGTAATGTCTTACAAGTCATTCATTCTGGAAATGTCTTACTGATTTTTACCGGTACATTTCAAATGTTTTTTTTTTTAATGGGACTACTATGGAGGTCTACCTTCTGCTCTTCAAAAGCACAGACTGCCCACATGATAGTCCTGTGTCTTTATAGTTATATACTTGGGTTAATGTACCACCACTGGGAGCTTGGCACATTTACACTTTCTCATTCTCATACCCCTCTCTCAATCTTTCTTTCTTTTTGTTGCTTTTGTTTCAGCTGAGCCTCCTCCCTTCTTCTTCTCACCTCTCCACAGACGACATCCAAAGGCTTGATCCCGAGGAGGAAGGGAGGAGAGAAACTACTCAGCTCTGTGTGCCCCAGAGAGAGGTCCCATCCCACACCAGCTCTGTGTGCCCCAGAGAGAGGTCCCATCCCACACCAGCTACCCTCTCTCGCTCACTCTCTCGTGCAGCTCAGTTTCCACCTCATTTTGTGGGCAGTGTGCACATAGCCCTTCTTCTCTTGAGAGCAAGGTCTGCCTACGGCGGCCTCTCTCAATAGCAAGGCTATGCTCACTGAGTCTGTACATAGTCAAGGATTTTCTTTGTTTTGGGTCAGTTACAGTGGTCAGGTATTCTGCCACTATGTTTAGGGCCAGATAACATTCCAGTTTGCTCTGTTTTTTGGTTGATTCTTTCTTTCTTTTTTGTTTTCTCATAATTTGGTTGGGTCTAATTGTGTTGCTGTCCTGGGGCTCTGTTTGTGTTTGTGAACAGAGCCCCAGAACCAACTGCCTGAGGGGACTCTTCTCTAGGTTGATCTCTCTGTAGGTGAGGGCTTTGTGGTGGAATATGTGGGCTTCGCTTCCTTTTAAGTGGTTGTAGAATTTAACAGCTCTTTTCTGGATATTGATAATTAGCGGGTATAGTCTTCATTCTGCTCTGCATGCATTGTTTGGGGTTTTGCATTGTACATACAGTAAAGGATATTTTTGCAGAATTCTGCATGCAGAGTCTCAATTGGGTGTTTGTCCCATTTTGTGAATTCTTGGTTGGTGAAAGCACCCCAGACCTCACAACCATAGAGAGCAATGGGTTCTAGAACTGATTGGAGTATTTTTAGACAGATCCTAGTTGGGATGTCTAGTTTTATGTTCCTTTTGATGGCATAGAAAGCCCTTCTTGCATTGTCTCTTAGATTGTTGTAACTTAGATCATTGTAACTTGTGGAAATTACCTGTGGTGTTGATGTTTAGGCTGAGGTAGATATAGTTATTTGTGTGCTCTAGGGCAACAGTTTCTAGATAGAATTCGTATTTGTTTTCCTGGCAACTGGACCTTTTTTGAAACACCATTATTTTTGTCTTACTGAGATTTACTGTCAGGGCCCAGGTCTGACATAATCTGTGCAGAAGATCTAGGTGCTGCTGTAGGCCCTCCTTGGTTGGGGACAGAAGCACCAGATCATCTGCAAACAGTAAACATTTGACTTCAGAGTCTAGTAGGGTGAGACCAGGTGCTGCAGATTGTTCTAGTGCCCTCGCCAATTCATTGATATATACAGTGCCTATAGAAAGTCTACCCCCCTTTCAAAATCTTCAAATAGCCTTGAATTAAAATGGATTAAACTGGTTTTTCCCCCATTGATCTAAACATCCTACGCCACAACTTCGAAGTGAAAAACATATACAGGCTTTTATGGACAAGACTGGTCCAAGTGTGCATGTGACAACGATATCCCAAACACCACAAATCGGCCATGTACTGTAGGGTGGCCAGAACGAAGCCATTACTCAAGAAAGCCCACCTTGAATCCCATTTGAAGTATGCACAAAAACACTCTGGAGATTCTGTAGCCATGTGGCAAAACGTTTTGTGGTCTGACTAAACTAAAATTGAACTTTTTGGCCTACAGTTGAAGTCGGAAGTTTACATACACTTAGGTTGGAGTCATTAAAACTCGTTTTCCAACCACTCCACAAATTTCTTGTTAACAAACTATAGTTTTGGCAAATTGGTTAGGACATCTACTTTTCCAACACTTGTTTACAGACAGATTATTTCACTGTATCACAATTCCAGTGGGTCAGAAGTTTACATACACTAAGTTGACTGTGCCTTTAAACAGCTTGGAAAATTCCAGAAAATGATACTATGGCTTTATAAGCTTCTGATAGGCTAATTGACATCATCTGAGTCAATTGGAGGTGTACCTGTGGATGTATTTCAAGGCCTACCTTCAAACTCAGTGCCTCTTTGCTTGACATCATGGGAAAATCAAAAGAAATCAGCCAAGACCTCAGAAAAAAATGTGTAGACCTCCACAAGTGTGGTTCATCCTTGGGAGCAATTTCCAAACGCCTGAAGGTACCACGTTCATCTGTACAAACAATAGTAGGCAAGTATAAACACCATGGGACCACACAGCCGTCATACCGCTCAGGAAGGAGACGCGTTCTGTCTCCTAGAGATGAACGTACTTTGGTGCGAAAAGTGAAAATCAATTCCAGAACAACAGCAAAGGACCTTGTGAAGATGCTGGAGGAAACAGGTACAAAAGTATCTATATCCACAGTAAAACGAGTCCTATATCGACATAACCTGAAAGGCCGCTCAGCAAGCAAGAAGCCACTGCTCCAAAACCGCCATAAAAAAGCCAGACTAAGGTTTGCAACTGCACATGGGGACAAAGATCGTACTTTTTGGAGAAATGTCCTCTGGTCTGATGAAACAAAAATAGAACTGTTTGGCCATAATGACCATCGTTATGTTTGGAGGAAAAAGGGGGTGGCTTGCAAGCCGAACAACACCATCCCAACCGTGAAGCACGGGGGTGGCAGCATCATGCTGTGGGGGTGCTTTGCTGCAGGAGGGACTGGTGCACTTCACAAAATAGATGGCATCATGAGAAAGGAAAATGATGTGGATATATTAAAGCAACATCTCAAGACGTCAGTCAGGAAGTTAAAGCTTGGTGGCAAATGGATCTTCCAAATGGACAATGACCGCAAGCATACTTCCAAAGTTGTGTCAAAATGGCTTAAGGACAACAAAGTCAAGGTATTGGAGTGGCCATCACAAAGCCCTGATCTCAATCCTATAGAAAATCTGTGGGCAGAACAGAAAAAGCGTGTGCGAGCAAGGAGGCCTACAAACCTGAGTCAGTTACACCAGCTCTGTCAGGAGGAATGGGCGAAAATTCACCCAACTTATTGTGGGAAGCTTGTGGAAGGCTACCCGAAACGTTTGACCCAAGTTAAACAATTTAAAGGCAGTGCTACCAAATACTAATTGAGTGCATGTAAACTTCTGACCCACTGGGAATGTGATGAAAGAAATAAAAGCTGAAATAAATCACTCTCTACTATTATTTTGACATTTCACATACTTAAAATAAAGTGATGATCCTAACTGACCTAAGACAGGGAATTTTTACTAGGATTAAATGTCAGGAATTGTGAAAAACTGAGTTTAAATGTATTTGGCTAAGGTGTATGTAAACTTCCGACTTCAACTGTAGATGCAAAGAGTTACGTTTGGTGCAAACCCAACACGGCACATCACCCAAAGAACACATCCCTACTGTGAAGCATGGTGGTGGCAGCATCATGTTATGGGGATGTTTCTCATCGTCAGAGACTGGGGCACTTATCAGGATAGAAGGGAAGATGAATGGAGAAATGTACAGAAAAGTCCTTGAAGCAAACCTGCTGCCCTCCGCAAGAAAGCTGAAACTGGGATGGAAGTTCACCTTTCAGCATGACAACGACCCGAAGCACACAGCCAAAGTGGCTAAGGAATAAATAGGTAAATGTCCTTGAGTGGCCCAGTCAGAGCTCTGACCTAAATCCAATCCAAAATATGTGGCATGACTTGAAGATTGCTGTCCAAAGAACTTGAAAGAGCTTGAACAGTTTTGTGAAGAAGAATGGTCAAATATTGCCAAATCTAGGTGTGCAAAGTTGGTAGAGACCTATCCCAACAGACTCACAGCTGTAATGGCTGCTAAAGGTGTTTCCACCTAGTATTAACTCAGGTGGGTGGAGATTTATCCAATTATGATATTTCAATTTTGTATTTTTAATACAGTATGTCATTTTTTCACCCCCCAAAAACATCTCCTTAAAAGTGTGTAGATAAGTGGGAAAACATTTTTATTTAAATGCATGAAACTGAGGCAATGACAACAAAATGTGAAAAAAGTTCACAGGGGTGTAGACTTTCTATAGGCATTGTATGTTAAAGAGGGTGGGGCTCAAGCTGCATCCCTGTCTCACCCCACGGCCTGAGGAAAGACATCTGTGTGTTTATTGCCTATTTTAACTGCACTTGTTTGTGTACATAGATTTTATAACATCGTATGTTGTCCCCCAAACACCGCTTTCCATCAATTTGTATAGCAGACCCTCATGCCAAATTGAGTCAAAAGCTAAATCGGAGTCTGTGTGTCTCTGTGTCTTGAAATACATTGTATCTCTTTTTTCTGAATGTATCCCTTTTCTGCTTTCTGTAACTTCACTCTGTTTTCTTTCTTTCTTTCTATGTATCTCAGTATCATTTTCTATTTCTCTTTCTGAAAGAAGATCTACTTTGTATCTGTTCCTCTCTCTGAAATAAATAATATATTGTAATCGTTTCCTCTTTCTGAATGGAATTTCTCTCTTTCTCTTTCTGAATGGCTCAGTCACTGCCCTTATATACACCTCAGTGGATCTGGAACAATGCTTGTATAGAATCTAGGAGGGATGTCAGTGTATTTGGAACAATCATAGAAATCGAATGAATAGAATGGGCTTGGAACCTCTAACCCTGGCAATTTGACAGGTAAACTCATGGGTACACTCGCAATAGATGCCTGGTATTGTGATGCAACAACTTCCATGGTAATGTAGAATGTTCATCCAAATTATGTTAATTGATGTGGCTCATGCAATGGAAAGTATTTTTGTAATGTCAGTTGAGGTGATTCAACAAATCACAGCACAGATTGATGGGTACACTTCCTGCTTTTACTTCCTGCTTTGCTATGGGTACACTAGCAATGGCCGCCAGTCCCATCATTATGTCACCATTGACTTGAACGGGGATGCCCGTTCTATTCATTCTATTTCTATGGGAACAATGCTTGTATACAATCTATGAAGGATTCCAGTGTATTTGGAACAATACTTGTATAGAAACAAGGAGGGATTCCAGTGTATTTGGAACAATACTTGTATAGAAACGAGGAGGGATTCCAGTGTATTTGGAACAATACTTGTATAGAAACGAGGAGGGATTCCAGCGTATTTGGAACAATACTTGTATAGAAACTAGGAGGGATTCCAGCGTATTTGGAACAATACTTGTATAGAAACTAGGAGGGATTCCAGCGTATTTGGAACAATACTTGTATAGAAACTAGGAGGAATTCCAGTGTATTTGGAACAATGCTTGTATAGAAATGAGGAGGGATTCCAGTGTATTTGGAACAATACTTGTATAGAAACTAGGAGGGATTCCAGTGTATTTGGAACAATACTTGTATAGAAACGAGGAGGGATTCCAGTGTATTTGGAACAATACTTGTATAGAAACGAGGAGGGATTCCAGTGTATTTGGAACAATACTTGTATAGAAACAAGGGGGGATTCCAGTGCTGTGCTTACATAACGCATTCCTGCTCGTCCTCGGCTTGGAAATGGTACGTCCGATTATCTGGAGAGGAGAGAGAGGAAAGATAGGTGTGAATTTAGAGGGACAGGACAGGAGAGGAGAGAGAGAGGAGGATGACAGAGAGAGTGCAGTAGGCTACATTCCAAGGGATACATACAGGGGGAAAACCTGATCCACAGACACAGAGAGAGGATCGGTTGAGGGAGACTAGCCTCTCTGCACCTGCTTTCCATTACATACACACAGGCTCAGACAAATACACACGCATATAGACACGCAAATGCACTTGCACACAGCTCAGACCATAGGTATGTGGAGAGGTGAGGGGTGAGAGGTCAAGGGTGAGAGGTCAGGGAGAGGTGAACCTACGTGTGACCAGGTCAAAGGTCCTCCTCTCATCGGGGTTGGGGCGCACCTGACAGGTCAGGAGGTTGAGCTTTGCCGGTGGTCGGTTTATCTGTGGAACCAATGACACTGGGGTCAATTCCCACTCTAGGGCTGACCCAAACCCCACTATGCTGGCTCAGATCCTATCTTTTCACATCGTCTTTTCCGGAATGGTCCCAACAACTATGGTATACAGTGTCTTCAGAAAGTATTCAGATCCCTTCGCTTTTTCCACATTTTGTTACGTTACAGCCTTATTCTAAAATTGATCAAATATATTTTTTCCCTCCTCAATCTACACACAATACCCCATAATGACAAAGCAAAAACTGGTTTTTAGAAATTTAAGCAAATGTATTACAAATAAAATAAAATAAAAAATCATTTACACAAGTATTCAGACCCTTTACTCAATACTTTGTTGAAGCACCTTTGGCAGCGATTACAGCCTTGAGTCTTCTTGGGTATGACACTACAAGCTTGGCACACCTGTATTTGGGGAATTTCTCCCATTCTTCTCTGCAGATCCTCTCAAGCTCTGTCAGGTTGGATGGGGACCGTCCACAGCTATTTTCAGGTCTCTCCAGAGGTGTTAGATCGGGTTCAAGTCCGGGCTCTGGCTGGGCCACTCAAGGACATTCAGAGACTTGTCCCAAAGACACTCCTGCGTTGTCTTCGCTGTGTGCTTAGGGTCGTTGTCCTGTTGGAAGGTGAACCTTCGCCCCAGTCTGAGGTCCTGAGCGCTCTGGAGCAGGTTTTCATCTGTACTTTGCTCCGTTCATCTTTCCCTCGATCCTGACTAGTCTCCCAGTCCCTGCCACTGAAAAACATCCCCACAGCATGATGTGGCCACCCCCATGCTTCAATGTAGGATGGTATTGGCCAGGTGATGAGCGGTGCCTGGTTTCCTCCAGACGTGACACTTGGCATTCAGGCCAAAGAGTTCAATCTTGGTTTCATCAGACCAGAGAATCTTGTTTCTCATGGTCTGAGAGTCCTTTAGGTGCCTTTTGGCAAACTCCAAGCAGGCTGTCATGTGCCTTTTACTGAGGAGTGGCTTCCGTCTGGCCACTCTCCCATAAAGGTCTGATAGGTGGAGTGCTGCAGAGATGGTTGTCCTTCTGGAAGGTTCTCCCATCTCAACAGAGGAACTATGGAGCTCTGTCAGAGTGACCATCGGGTTCTTGGTCACCTCCCTGACCAAGGCCCTTATCCCCCGATTGCTCAATTTGGCCAGGCGGCCAGCTCTAGGAAGAGTCTTGGTGGTTCCAAACTTCTTCCATTTAAGAATGATGGAGGCCACTGTGTTCTTGGGGAACTACAATGATGCAGACATTTTTTGGTACCCTTCCCCAGATCTGTGCCTCGACACAATCTTGTCTCGGAGCTCTACGGACAATTCCTTCGACCTCATGGCTTGGTTTTTGCTCTGACATGCACTGTCAACTGTGGGACCTTATATAGACAGGTGTGTGCCTTTCCAAATCCATGACCAATCAATTGAATTAACCACAAGTGGACTCCAATCAAGTTGTAGAAACATCTCAAGGATGATCAATCGAAACAGGATTCACCTGAGCTCAATTTCGATTCTCATAGCAAAGGGTCTGAATACTTATGTAAATAAGGTTTTTTATTTTTTATTTCTAAAAAACAGTTTTTGCTTTGTCGTTATGGGTTATTGTGTGTAGATTGATGAGGGAAAACTTAATTTAATCAATTTTAGAACAAGGCTGTAACGTAACAACATGTGGAAAAAGGGAAGAGGTCTGTATGCACTACTAGGCCAGCCTGTTAAGCTTAACTATGGTATCAGCAACCTGACGACTAGGGCTGTCCACAACTAAAACAATTATTGGTCGACCAAGAGTCGTCTGTTCTTTCGACCAATCGACTGATTGAAATATAGGCCTAAGTAAGTTATGGTATTAAGACTAAACAGGATGTGTTCTCAGGCCTACAGCTCGATGGTGGTTATACAAGGCTGCTATACTAAGCCTACGAATGATGATGACATTACTTATTATTATAATGATCATCATAATAATAAATAATAATAATAATAACTAATAACAATAAGGAGATCAAGGAAAAAGGAGGGTTATTATTATTATTATTATTATTATTATTATTATTATAAATAAAATAAAAATCGGACAATTTGAAACAGTGTAAACAACACTAAATAAATTATAAATAATACCAGAGAGGCTGGTCTAACGAAAAACAAGTGTAAAGCCTTTATTAAAGGATAGCAAAGATAAAAAACGGAATAAGCGGAATTAGCTTGGTGCTTATGGAATCAGTAGGCTATTAAACAAACAGTCAAACAGGCAACAGAAGCAGGATCTGTCTTATTTCTGTAGATATAGATGGATGATTTACAGTGGGGAAAAAAGTATTTAGTCAGCCACCAATTGTGCAAGTTCTCCCACTTAAAAAGATGAGAGAGGCCTGTAATTTTCATCATAGGTACACGTCAACTATGACAGACGAATTGAGAAAAAAAAATCCAGAAAATCACATTGTAGGATTTTTTATGAATTTATTTTTATGAATCAATTAAATTATGGTGGAAAATAAGTATTTGGTCACCTACAAACAAGCAAGATTTCTGGCTCTCACAGACCTGTAACTTCTTCTTTAAGAGGCTCCTCTGTCCTCCACTCGTTACCTGTATTAATGGCACCTGTTTGAACTTGTTATCAGTATAAAAGACACCTGTCCACAACCTCAAACAGTCACACTCCAAACTCCACTATGGCCAAGACCAAAGAGCTGTCAAAGGACACCAGAAACAAAATTGTAGACCTGCACCAGGCTGGGAAGACTGAATCTGCAATAGGTAAGCAGCTTGGTTTGAAGAAATCAACTGTGGGAGCAATTATTAGGAAATGGAAGACATACAAGACCACTGATAATCTCCCTCGATCTGGGGCTCCACGCAAGATCTCACCCCGTGGGGTCAAAATGATCACAAGAACGGTGAGCAAAAATCCCAGAACCACACAGGGGGGACCTAGTGAATGACCTGCAGAGAGCTGGGACCAAAGTAACAAAGCCTACCATCAGTAACACACTACGCCGCCAGGGACTCAAATCCTGCAGTGCCAGACGTGTCCCCCTGCTTAAGCCAGTACATGTCCAGGCCCGTCTGAAGTTTGCTAGAGTGCATTTGGATGATCCAGAAGAGGATTGTGAGAATGTCATATGGTCAGATGAAACCAAAATATAAATGTTTTGGTAAAAACTCAACTCGTCGTGTTTGGAGGACAAAGAATGCTGAGTTGCATACCAAAGAACACCATACCTACTGTGAAGCATGGGGGTGGAAACATCATGCTTTGGGGCTGTTTTTCTGCAAAGGGACCAGGACGACTGATCCGTGTAAAGGAAAGAATGAATGGGGCCATGTATCGTGAGATTTTGAGTGAAAACCTCCTCCATCAGCAAGGGCATTGAAGATGAAACGTGGCTGGGTCTTTCAGCATGACAATGATCCCAAACACACCGCCCAGGGCAACGAAGGAGTGGCTTCGTAAGAAGCATTTCAAGGTCCTGGAGTGGCCTAGCCAGTCTCCAGATCTCAACCCCATAGAAGATCTTTGGAGGGAGTTGAAAGTCTGTGTTGCCCAGCGACAGCCCCAAAACATCACTGCTCTAGAGTAGATCTGCATGGAGGAATGGGCCAAAATACCAGCAACAGTGTGTGAAAACCTTGTGAAGACTTACAGAAAACATTTGACCTGTGTCATTGCCAACAAAGGGTATATAACAAAGTATTGAGAAACTTTTGTTATTGACCAAATACTTATTTTCCACCATAATTTGCAAATAAATTCATAAAAAATCCTACAATGTGATTTTCTGGAATTTTTTTTCTCATTTTGTCTGTCATAGTTGACGTGTACCTATGATGAAAATTACAGGCCTCTCTCATCTTTTTAAGTGGGAGAACTTGCACAATTGGTGGCTGACTAAATACTTTTTTCCCCCACTGTATAAAGCCAGCCACATTTAACAGTTAGGCTGTTAATCATAGACCTAATTAAGTTGGGGTTTCCTCTCTCCTCACTTCTTAGACAATTAAGGCAAGGGCTGTTTTCTCGTCTCCTAACTCTGCTGCTGCCTCCGCCACATTGTTCTCAACACCAATATGCTGGTTAACTTTGCTATTATGCACATAGCAACATGGTCTAGGCAAAGGCACCAATTCAACAGTGCACTATCCAACGCGAGAGAAAGCATATTTGTTATAAAATAATATTATTTTGATTTGTGTTGCACCATTGTTCTTACATAATATAACCATATACAATTTCAGTAGCACGTCTTAGACTGATAGACTGTACCATCCCCACGGCCTCCACAATGGATCAGTCCACTCAGACAGGAGCCAATCAGACAGGTGTCTTGTACACCATGGATTTGTTATTATTATAATATTTTTTTTGCTACTGCTCGACTAAAGAAATCTCGGTCAACCAAACAATCGACCAGTCGACTAAATGGGGTCAGCCCTACTGGCGACTGATTTAAAGTTACAGGTAGTCAGGTATATTGTATTGAGGATGACTTTTGGCAGTGAGCTTTACTGTATGGTTTACATCCTGTATTGGGGTACAGGAAATGAGAGGTGAATGAAATGTCAGCTAAAAGGCCACATGACATGGTGAGTCTCACCGTGCTGTGGGAGATGGTCAGACAGCCGTACTTGACACCACACTTCCTCTTCTGCCACACCTTCCTAATCCTGGAGGGAGTGAAAGAGAGAGGGGAGACAGAGAGACACAGACCACAGTCTGAGTCAGGTATAACTTACTGTATATCTACAGTACCATCAAGTTTACACATCATTTCCAGGAATACAAGTTCGTTTCCCCAACTGACTCACTTCCCCCCATGTTATCACACTGTAATCTAACGCTCTGAGAATGAGGGGAGCTAGAATGGTCTCTCTCTCTCTCTCACTCTCACTCTCACTCACTCACTCACTCACTCACTCACTCACTCACTCACTCACTCACTCACTCACGCCAGGCCTCACCGCCTGGATCCAAACCCCCAGAATAATGAAGACCAGCTGGGGCTGACAAAGCACTGCATCCATATTTAGGCTGCATTGGCAGTTGGCTAGGTTATATTGTATCTGTGCACTGGCTATATATTTCTACTTTGAGCAACCTCTGTGATATCTGACTCCGACTCATCATCAAGTCCAAACTCTTGCGGTAGTTCAATTGTAAATGTCGTCCGTAGCTGTACTCCGTCTAGTCACAACCATAAAACAGCCTGTGACATCCTAGCCTAGACCCGGATCGGTTTATGCTGTCTTGCCAAATCCTATGTGTGCTATCTTAGCATATCGAGCTGCCTCCCTAAACTTGCCTCTGACTGGGCCTCACCAACACATGACCGCCCGCTTGACAAAATACAAACCAGTTGAGCTGTAGAAAAGGATGCAATTCAATAGCACCATTTCGAGCTAGCTGTGAAGTGAGTTCACAGCACGTTCTAATCTCAGTTACACAGGCTAGTGGAATCCTCGTATTGGGGTTAATGGTGGGAAGTGGAGCCTTGTGTGTTTTCAGTACATGGTCAGTATATTTATCAGTATTTTCACATTCTCCAGACAGACTCACCCGTCACTCCTCTTCTGTAGGAAGCCTGACTTTTCCGTACCATACTTCTTGTTGCCTTGAGGCTGGTGGATGCTGTAGCCGTTACCAGAGTTCTTTCCGGTCAGGTATTCCTAGGACAAAACGGGAGAAAAATCCTTTATTAAAATATAGATTGACTATGAGTAATTGAAAAGATACCTGTTTTATTTTTATACCCACCCACCATGATCGTGTTCATTAGGGCAAGCAATGGAAAACGTTTCAAAACATTTGCCAAAGGAAAATGAACACTTCTTATTGGACAAGCCCAGGTAGTCCCCCTCTGTTTGAGTCAGTTTTCTACCGTTTGGTGGCTAATGAACAAGACCCTGGAAAGCGATCTAGTATAGTTTATAGTGGGTGTTTGAGTTCTGTGGTGGTGGAAACCGTACCTCTTTCCCCTCCACCTGTAGCAGCAGTCTCAGGGAGTCTCGTAGCTGAGAGAGCTGTCTCACCTCTTCATCCTGGTCCTGACGCACCTACAGTAAACACACACACACACACACACACACACACACACACACACAGACACACACACACACAGACACAGGACAGATCAGCTTTCTAGCTGAACGCCATCTACTGTAGCTAATATCTAAACAGACAGTGATTTGGCTGATATTATGGGAGCATTTGGAGGGAGTAGCTGGTGTACGTGGCGTGCACTAGCTTTTGACAACACCAACCGTCTCCCAAAAACAATGGATTTGGGATGGGAAGCTTTGCTGAAATGTCCCCAATCAATGGGTGTGGACAGCTGTTAAACCAAAGCTTTGCATAACGTTGCAAAATAAAGTGTAACAGAGCATTCTAGAACAGTCTTTGGTTTCTGGGTGGAAACCGTACCTCTTTCCCTCCAGATCAGTTTGTGCTGTCTTGCCAAATCCTAGACAGCACAAAGCGCCAGGCTAGCACAACCCCTATCTGCCTGTTGCATTAGAATGGTCTGGGTCTGATGAAACAACAACCAATCAAACAGGATGACAACAAAACAACGTTTAGGTGAACCGTGAAAAAGTCCCAACAGGTTTCTTTTCCATAAAACTCCCTTGAACCTGAGAAACAGCGTGCACGAGCTTGCCCCTTTTCCGACCATGCAGAGCAAGAAGAACCGACGACACTCTCATTAAACTCAAGTGTCCGTTACTAACACTGTGCCTGATGTCAGAGAGAGAGAGAGAGACAGAGAGACAGAGAGAGAGAGAGAGAGAGAGTGCAACCCGACATTAGGTCAGTAAACCACAATGTGGACCAGGCTTAGTATAACCACCACACTATGCCATTTAAGGTGGACCAGGCTGTATAACCACCACACCATGCCATTTAAGGTGGACCAGGCTGTATACCCACCACACCATGCCATTTAAGGTGGACCAGGCTGTATAACCATGTCATTTAAGACTACACTTCAACACCACTGCCCTGTAACCTTGACAACCATAACCGGTACCTTACGATAGTCTCCTGGTTTGGCAGTTGGGGGGATATGGGTAGGAAAATGTAAGCTTTGCCTGGTTTGGAAAACCTGTCTGGGCGATTATAGCATAAGGGGCCCGTACTTCCAATGAAATTGGGAATTGCATCAAATAGCAGACAGCTTGTGGGTTGGGAAAGTCTGGGAGGAGAGAGGAGGTTGAGGCTTAGGAATTTGACTGTAGCTTACTTACTCAACCGTTGTCTGTCTATGAGACTTACAGTGGAGTTGTCTGTCTATGAGACTTACAGTGGAGTTGTCTGTCTATGAGACTTACAGTGGAGTTGTCTGCTGCGATGCATAATCTGTTATTCTGTCTGTACTGGGCTTCCATAGCAGGTGATGACTAATGTCCAGTTGGAGTTGGTAGTTAGTGTGTGTGTGTGTGTGTGTGTGTGTGTGTGTGTGTGTGTGTGTGTGTGTGTGTGTGTGTGTGTGTGTGTGACAGACAGACAGACAGGTAGACAGACAGACAAAACAAACAGAAACAGTTGTTATTACCATGTGCACCGACGTAGCCAGCTTCTCCACAAAGGGACTAAGGTTTTCGGCAGCTTTCAAGCCGTCCTGGAAAAAACTGAGATGACACAATAACACTGAGTCATACACTCAGGTACACAACCCCAAACACACACACACAGAGAGAGAGAGACACACAGGAGCGCGCGCACACACACACACACGCTCCACAAACACACGTAGAACACATATAACATATGCAACCGAATAGTTAAGTAGCGTGGCGATAGCTACTGTAGTAAAAGGAAGACAAAACCAAAACAGCCACAACATGACACCAGAAGCCACAGTAACATTCCTGAGGTAAAACCTTATGACGTGTAGTAAGTAGCTGGGAGATACAGCAGTAGGCTACAAATGAAAGCCATACGCTTTCCATAAGGCCAAATGAGTTCAGCGAGGACTCTTTCAATTCAAACTATAGGGCCAACCAGAACCGTACTGCCTTGGATATAAAAATTGTCTTACATGTTTTATTTCAGACTATAACCAGGCCAGTGCAGTACAGCTCTGCTTGGCTCAGTAGTTTGAAAAGGGCATGAAAGCATAGAAGGAGAACTTACTTGAGCTGGGCCTGGAAGTACTTGATAAGACTCTGGAGCAGGTCTGGACCCTGACGTACCCTCAGCTCCTGGATCTTCAGGAGATACTGGACAAACCAGAGGACGCAGTGCTAGATTAGTAACCATGGTTACAGGGCTGGTTTTGGTTCAGAAACGGTCATACTGGTTACAGACCGTTATTAAGAAGTTGTGTATCATTTCACTGATTCAACCAGTCACTCATTAATCATGGTAAGAGAAATGTACTGTATGCCCCTGCCCTTGTGTTCTGACCCAGGTAAAACTCCTGTTCTTAGTTGTAGTCTGTAAACTTGGGCCCAGAGTTTTTCCCGGTCAGGACACATGGGCAGGAAAAATTATAGACTTTCATATGAACAAGTCTCTTCTGCCATAGACAGTATGGTTCTCAGGACATAGCCTAAACATGAAATAGCACAGAACAGTTTCAGGGTGTGTTTTTTCCCTGATCCATTTTTTAACTGTTTGAAGTGTTTCAAATGTTGCTTTAAAAGGAAAATGCCTTGGTGAGAGCCAGCTGTAGGAGCTCTCTGCTGCTTGTGGAAGGAATGACTGCAGTCTGCTGTGTCTCTGCTCCATAAAGCCTTGTTTAAAGCCGTCTGTCTGCGGCTACGCTGGGTCATGTTCATTTTCCATCAAATGGGACAAAATGGACTGAAACAGCCCACTGGGCAAAAACTGGTTGAATCAACATTGATCCACATCATTTCAACAAAAACAAATCAGTGTGATGACGTTGAGTCAACGTTGAAAATAGATTGGATTTGCAAAAAATTATCAACGTAAAGGCATTTCGTATGTTTTTCACCCAACTTTTAACCTAAATCCAATGACATGGTGAATATTTTTGTTGATTTTACGTTAGGTGACAACTCAACCAAATGTAAATCAAAACTAGATGTTGAACTGACGTTTGTGCCCAGTGGAAGGACTTCAAATTATTATTATTAATTATTAGAGAGGCCAGCTGGTAGTGGTGGTAGTGGTAGTAGTAGTAGTAGTAGTAGTGGTATTCGTGGTGGTAGTAGTAATAGTGGTGGTAGTGGTAGTAGTAGTAGTAGTAGTGGTGGTAGTGGTATTAGTGGTGGTGGTAGTGGTAGCAGTGGTGGTAGTGGTATTGATGGTAGTCGTGGTGGTAGTGGTATTAGTGGTGGTAGTGGAATTAGTGGTAGCAGTGGTGGTAGTGGTGGTGGTAGTGGTAGCAGTGGTGGTAGTGGTGGTAGTGGTATTAGTGGTGGTAGTGGAATTAGTAGTAGCAGTGGTGGTAGTGGTATTAGTGGTATAAGTGGTGGTAGTGGTAGTAGTGGTGGTGGTAGTTGTAGTAGTGGTGGTGGTAGTGGAATTAGTGGTATTAGTGGTGGTAGTGGAATTAGTGGTAGCAGTGGTGGTAGTGGTGGTGGTAGTGGAATTAGTAGTGGTGGTAGTGGAATTAGTGGTGGTGGTGGTGGTAGTGGTGGTAGTGGAATTAGTGGTAGCAGTGGTAGTGGTAGCAGTGGTGGTGGTAGTTGTAGTAGTGGTGGTAGTGGAATTAGTGGTGGTAGTGGTATTAGTGGTAGCAGTGGTGGTAGTGGTAGTGGTAGTAGTGGTAGCAGTGGTGGTAGTGGTATTGGTGGTAGTAAATTATCCAATAAGAAACACTCATTTTCGTTTTCAGTTGCATGTTTTCAAACGTTTTCTGTTGTGTGCCATAACGAACATGACCCAGACAAGGGCCTTGGAGGAGGGGGAATTCCTCCATCCATCTCAGCAGCTGGCCTCACAGAGAGAGCGCAACTAAAGAGCAAATTCCCCTATGCTCGTAAAGTGTAACTGTGGACTAGAACTTTAACTGAGCTTAGCATTGGTTTCAGTGCCATTTCCAATCTGTGCTGCACATTTTACATTTCACAGTCTAGTCTGGGTTTGGCTCCCTCCCCCACCTTGACACGATCTGTGCCATTCAGGGGAGAACTTGCCCTCCCCCAATCCTACCCGTAAGCATTAGCGGAATTAGTGGAATTAGTGGTATTAGCGGCGTTAGTGGTAGTAGTGGTGTTAGTGGTATTAGCGGTATATGCAGTGGTAGTAGTGGTGGTAGTGGTATTAGCGGTATTAGCAGTGCTAGTAGTAGTGGTGGTAGTGGTATTTGCAGTAGTAGTGGTAGTAGTGGTGGTAGTCGTATTAGTGGTGGTAGTAGTGGTGGTATTAGTGGTGGGAGTGGTATTAGTGGAAGTAGTGGTGGTAGTGGTGGTAGTAGTGGTGGTAGTGGTATTAGCAGTGGTAGTAGTAGTGGTAGAAGTGGTGGTAGTGGTATTAGCTGTATTAGCAGTGGTAGTTGTAGTGGTAGTAGTGGTGGTGGTGGTATTAGTGGTGGGAGTGGTAGCAGTGGTGGTAGTGGTGGTAGTGGTAGTGGTATTAGCAGTGGTAGTTGTAGTGGTAGTAGTGGTGGTATTAGTGGTGGTATTAGTGGTGTTAGTAGCAGTGGTGGTAGTGGTATTAGTAATGGTGTTAGTGGTAGTGGTATTAGTGGTGGTAGTTGTATTAGTGGTGGTGGTAGTGGTGGTAGTGGTAGCAGTGGTAGTAGTGGTAGTAGTGGTGGTGGTAGTGGTATTAGTTGTATTAGTGGTGGTAGTGGTATTATTAGTGGTGGTAGTAGCATTAGTGGTAGTAGTGGTATAAGTGGTGGTAGTAGTGGTAGTAGTGGTATTAGTGGTGGTAGTGGTGGTAGTGGTATTAGTGGTATTATTGGTGGTAGTGGTTCGTGGTGGTAGGTGGTTTGTAAGTGGTTTATTTGGTAGTAGTGGTAGTAGTTGTGGTGGTATTATGTGGTGAGTCTTGGTTCGTAGTGTGAGTGTGGGTGGTGGTGTTGATAGTTGTGGTGTGGTATTAGTGGTGGTAGTGGTAGTAGTGGTATTAGTGGTAGTAGTTGTGGTAGTGGTATTAGTGGTGGTAGTAGTGGTAGTAGTGGTATTAGTGGTGGTGTGTATAGTGGTGGTAGTATGGGTGGCTTTGGTATGTTGGGTTAGTGGTGGTCGGGTGTGGTGTAGTGGTTTGGTTCGTTGTAGTCGTGTATTGTGGTGGTGTATTGGTGGTAGTGGTAGTAGTGGTATTAGTGGTGGTAGTGGTGGTGGTAGTGGTATTAGTAGCAGTGGTGGTAGTGGTATTAGTAATGGTGGTGGTGGAGTGGTATTAGTGGTGGTGGTGGTAGTGGTGGTAGTGGTATTAGTAATGGTGGTAGTGGTAGTGGTATTAGTGGTGGTAGTTGTATTAGTGGTGTAGATGTTAGTGTGGTAGTAGTGGTGGTAGTGGTAGTAGTGGTGGTAGTGGTATTAGTGGTGGTAGTTGTATTAGTGGTGGTAGTGGTAGCAGTGGTAGTAGTGGTGGTGGTAGTGGTATTAGTTGTATTAGTGGTGGTAGTGGTGGTAGTGGTATTAGTAATAGTGGTAGTGGTATTAGTGGTGGTAGTTGTATTAGTGGTGGTAGTAGCATTAGTGGTAGTAGTGGTATAAGTGGTGGTAGTAGTGGTGGTAGTGTTGGTAGTGGTTATGTGGTATTTTGTGAGTGGGTAGTGGTGGTAGGGTATTAGTGGTGTGTGGTCGTATTGTGGTTGGTGGTACTTGTCGTAGTGGTCTGTGTGTGTGTTGTGGTAGTGGTCTTTGTGTGGTGATTGGTGGTAGTAGTGGTATTAGTGGTAGTAGTAGTGGTAGTAGTTGTGGTGGTGGTAGTATTGGTGGTAGTGGTAGTAGTTGTGTCGTTGGTATTATGTTGGTAGATCTGTAGTCTTTGGTATTCGTGGTGGTGTAGTGTATTGTGTTGGTAGTTTGTGGTGTGGTCTTAGTGGTAGTCGTTTGTGGTAGTGGGTATTTTGTGGGTGTGGTGTGTGTTTGTGTGTGTGGTATTCGTGGTGGTGTATTGGGTAGTGGTAGTAGTGGTATTAGTGGTCGGTAGTATGGTGGTAGTGGTTAGTAGTGGTTAGTAGTGGGTAGTATTGGGTTTGGTAGTGGTAGTAGTGGTATTATGGTGGTGTGTAGTTATTGTGTGTGTTCGTTTTTTTGTGTCTAGTGTGGTTTTGTATTCTTCTTGGTGGTTTGGTGTTGTTGTTTTCGTTTATTGTGGTGTTTGTTGATTCGGTGTAGTGGTCTGTGTGGTCTTCTTGTAGTTGTTGTGGTCTGTGTGTAGTATTGGTGGTAGTTTCTTCTTGGTGTAGAAGTAGTGGTAGTAGTGGTGTAGTATTGGTGTGGTAGTGGTAGTAGTGGGGGAATGAGAAACAGACTTTTAGATCACGTCCATGGGTAACTGCTACCTGTGTGTGTGTGTTTGTCCTAGCTCTGTGTCCCCACCTCACACATCTGCAGCTGGAAGGTCCTCCTCTCTCGCTCCATGTCCTCCGTCACGTCGTATCCCTCCATCCTGATCAGGCCCGGCTGACGCCTCTTCTCCCGCCTCTCCTTCTCCAGCTTCCCACTGAGAGAGAGAGAGAGAGAGAGAGAGAGAGAGAGAGAGGACTTTAGACTGTAAAGCATCTTTATTGATACCATTCAATGAAAACAAAAGAGCATTGTTAAATGGATGGCAGACTAAACGTCAACATTCGTAGACACAGATGCTGAAGAGAGAAGGGACAGTGCATTAGATATCTGTAGAATTGTCTTGGGCTGAGGTGTGAGTGTGGATGAGGTGCGAGTGTGGATGGGGTGCGAGTGTGGATGAGGTGCGAGTGTGGATGAGGTGCGAGTGTGGATGAGGTGCGAGTGTGGATGAGGTGCGAGTGTGGATGAGGTGCGAGTGTGAATGAGGTGCGAGTGTGGATGAGGTGTGAGTGTACTTATGTGTGCATGTCTGTGAGAGAGTGTGTGAATGAGAAAAAGAGAGATATGGGTGGATTTACAGTTATTTACTACCCTAATCTTTGCCCTATTTCACATCCTATTGCTGTAACACACTCCCTCTTTCCAAGTAGTTCACGTGAGGAAGTAGGAGAAAGGATAAGGGAGAGTGGAGAGTGGAGGTGAAACCCCATTCTTATATTACATTGACTTACAACCAGACCGTGATTGGATGGGTGTACAGTAAAACTCTCTTTTCATCTTTCTGAGAGAGGCACCACAAACCATGTGGAAGACTACTTCCGTCATAATCACATTGATAGAGTGATATCAACTCACACTTTGATGTCATAGTCCTTCCAGCTCTTCTCCAACTGTTTCTTCAGCTCCTAAAGAAGAGAAAACAGAAGAAGAACAGATTGGTTCAGTTGGGCTGCGCTCCAGACAAGCCAAATAAACACTGCCTCTATATTATCTGAAGTGTGGACAGTCACAGGACACTGCACAGGGGCCCCAACTTTAGATTACATTTGACTGTGAATAGAAGGCTCTGGCCCCACCATTCACCTTATATGACACTTCAACAATGGGGTTTACGGTACAATAACAAAACCTATTGCCGGTGAATGACCTCTCATTAAGTAGGACAACGAAGCCTGGCCTGGTGAAACTCCAGGCCCTAGTACCTGTAGCCTTTGACTGTGGCCCAGAGTTTTTCCTTGTCTGAAAAAAACCTTGGTCCCATATTCATTAAGCGTCTCAGAGGAGGGCTGAGTACATAGAGCTGATGTTTTCCAGGTTTGTGCCTTAGTCATTAGACGAAATGTAGATCTTATTGTCTAGGAGTATCTCGTATTGTCTAGGAGTATATCTTATTGTCTAGGAGTATCTCGTATTGTCTAGGAGTATATCTTATTGTCTAGGAGTATATCTTATTGTCTAGGAGTATATCTTATTGTCTAGGAGTATCTCGTATTGTCTAGGAGTATCTCGTATTGTCTAGGAGTATCTCGTATTGTCTAGGAGTATATCTTATTGTCTAGGAGTATATCTTATTGTCTAGGAGTATATCGTATTGTCTAGGAGTATCTCGTATTGTCTAGGAGTATCTCGTATTGTCTAGGAGTATATCTTATTGTCTAGGAGTATCTCGTATTGTCTAGGAGTATATCTTATTGTCTAGGAGTATCTCGTATTGTCTAGGAGTATATCTTATTGTCTAGGAGTATCTCGTATTGTCTAGGAGTATATCTTATTGTCTAGGAGTATCTCGTATTGTCTAGGAGTATCTCGTATTGTCTAGGAGTATCTCGTATTGTCTAGGAGTATCTCGTATTGTCTAGGAGTATATCGTATTGTCTAGGAGTATTCGTATTGTCTAGGAGTATATCGTATTGTCTAGGAGTATTCGTATTGTCTAGGAGTATTCGTATTGTCTAGGAGTATATCTTATTGTCTAGGAGTATCTCGTATTGTCTAGGATATCGTATTGTCTAGGGTATCTCTATTGTCTAGGAGTATCTCGTATTGTCTAGGAGTATTCGTATTGTCTAGGAGTATATTGTTGTCTAGGAGTATATCTTATTGTCTAGATTGTCTAGGAGTATCTCGTATTGTCTAGGAGTATTCGTATTGTCTAGGAGTATTCGTTATTGTCTAGGAGTATATCGTATTGTCTAGGAGTATATCGTATTGTCTAGGAGTATCTCGTATTGTCTAGGAGTATCTCGTATTGTCTAGGAGTATCTCGTATTGTCTAGGAGTATCTCGTATTGTCTAGGAGTATCTCGTATTGTCTAGGAGTATATCTTATTGTCTAGGAGTATCTCGTATTGTCATAGGAGTATCTGTATTGTCTAGGAGTATCTCGTATTGTCTAGGAGTATCTCGTATTGTCTAGGAGTATATCTTATTGTCTAGGATTATCTCGTATTGTCTAGGAGTATTCTGTATTGTCTAGGAGTATCTCGTATTGTCTAGGAGTATCTCGTATTGTCTAGGAGTATCTCGTATTGTCTAGGAGTATCTCTTATTGTCTAGGAGTATATCGTATTGTCTAGGAGTATATCTTATTGTCTAGGAGTATCTCGTATTGGTCTAGGAGTATATCTCTATTGTCTAGGAGTATCTCGTATTGTCTAGGAGTATCATCGTATTGTCTAGGAGTATATCGTATTGTCTAGGAGTATCTCGTATTGTCTAGGAGTATTCTCGTATTGTCTAGGAGTATCTCGTATTGTCTAGGCAGTATCTCGTATTGTCTAGGAGTATCTCGTATTGTCTAGGAGTATCTCGTATTGTCTAGGAGTATCTCGTATTGTCTAGGAGTATCTCGTATTGTCTAGGAGTATATCTTATTGTCTAGGAGTATCTCGTATTGTCTAGGAGTATCTCGTATTGTCTAGGAGTATCTCGTATTGTCTAGGAGTATCTCGTATTGTCTAGGAGTATATCTTATTGTCTAGGAGTATCTCGTATTGTCTAGGAGTAATCTCGTATTGTCTAGGAGTATCTCGTATTGTCTAGGGTATCTCGTATGTCTAGGAGTATTCGTATTGTCTAGGAGTATATCTTATTGTCTAGGAGTTATCTGTATTTGTCCTAGGAGTATCTCGTATTGTCCTAGGTATCTCGTATTGGTCTAGGAGTATTCGTATTGTCTAGGCAGTATCTCGTATTGTCTAGGAGTATCTCTATTGTCTAGGAGTATATCTTATTGTCTAGGAGTATCTCGTATGTCTAGGAGTATATCTCGTATTGTTCAGAGTATCTCGTATTGTCTAGGAGTATCTCGTATTGTCTAGGAGTATCTCGTATGTCTAGGAGTATCTCTTATGTCTAGGAGTATCTCGTATTGTCCTAGGAGTATTCTATTGTCTAGGAGTATATCTTATTGTCTAGGAGTATCTCGTATTGTCTAGGAGTATTCGTATTGTCTAGGAGTATTCGTATTGTCTAGGATATCTCGTATTGTCTAGGAGTATATCTTATTGTCTAGGAGTATCTCGTATTGTCTAGGAGTATCTCGTATTGTCTAGGAGTATATCTATTGTCTAGGAGTATCTCTATTGTCTAGGAGTATATCTATTGTCTAGGAGTATCTCGTATTGTCTAGGAGTATATCTTATTGTCTAGGAGTATATCTTATTGTCTAGGAGTATCTCGTATTGTCTAGGAGTATATCTATTGTCTAGGAGTATATCTATGTCTAGGTATTGGTCTAGAGATGCTAGGAGTATCTCTATTGTCTAGGAGTAATTATCGTCAGTATGTCTAGGAGTATCTCGTATTGTCTAGGAGTATATCTATTGTCTAGGAGTATCTCGTATTGTCTAGGAGTATATCGTATTGTCTAGGAGTATATCGTATTGTCTAGGAGCTATATCTTATTGTCTAGGAGTATTCTATTGTCTAGGAGTATATCTTATTGTCTAGGAGTATATCTATTGTCTAGGAGTATCATCTGTATTGTCTAGGAGTATATCTTATTGTCTAGGAGTATATCTATTGTCTAGGAGTATTCGTATTGTCTAGGAGTATATCTTATTGTCTAGGAGTATCTCGTATTGTCTAGGAGTATATCGTATTGTCTAGGAGTATATCTTATTGTCTAGGAGTATATCTTATTGTCTAGGAGTATCTCGTATTGTCTAGGAGTATATCTTATTGTCTAGGAGTATATCTTATTGTCTAGGAGTATTCTGTATTGTCTAGGAGTATCATCGTATTGTCTAGGAGTATCTCGTATTGTCTAGGAGTATATCTTATTGTCTAGGAGTATCTCGTATTGTCTAGGAGTATTCGTATTGTCTAGGAGTTATCTCGTATTGTCTAGGAGTATCTGTATTGTCTAGGAGTATATCTATTGTCTAGGAGTATTCGTTATTGTCTAGGAGTATATCTTATTGTCTAGGAGTATCTCGTATTGTCTAGGAGTATTCTATTGTCTAGGAGTAATCTTATTGTCTAGGAGTATATCGTATTGTCTAGGAGTATCTCTTATTGTCTAGGAGTATCTCTATTGTCTAGGAGTATATCGTATTGTCTAGGAGTATCTCTATAGTCTAGGAGTTATCGTATTGTCTAGGAGTATATCTATTGTCTAGGGTAGATCTTATCTAGGAGTACGTAGGTCAGTAGGGAGTAGTCATCTATTGTCAGGAGTATCTATGTCAGGAGTTCCGTAGTGTCTAGGAGTATGGCTCGTATTGTCAGGAGTATCTCGTATGTCGAGCTATCGCATAGCTAGACAGAGTACTACATGTCAGGAGTTATCTAGTGTCTAGCATAATCTTATGTCAGGCTAAGACTATTTTCAGTTTGCCTACAGGGAGAGACGAGGTCCACAGAGGGAGGACAGAGGTTCCACAGTAGGTTCCACAGTAGGGGAGACAGAAGGTTCCACAGTAGGTTCCACAGTAGGGGAGACAGAAGTGTTCCACTATTTTACATTTTAGTCATTTAGCAGACGCTCTTATCCAGAGCGACTTACAGTTAGTGAATTCATTTTCATACTGGCCCCCCATGGGAAACGAACCCACAACCCTGGCGTTGCAAGCGCCATGCTCTACCAACTGAGCTACAGGGGACTATGTAGTGTACACTACAGTAGGGTTACTCACCAGTCTGCTGTCTCTAAGCTCACTCTTCAGGACGTTCTCCAAGGGGAAGGAGATTATGTTGTTCAGATTCTGGACCTGGAAGACAGGAAGGGAGAGAGGGAGGGAGGGAGGGAGGGAGAGAGGGAGGGAGGGAGGGAGGGAGGGAGGGAGGGAGGGAGGGAGAGAGGGATAGACGGAGGGAGAGAGGGAGAGAGAGGGAGGCAATGAGTCACATAGCTACACACAGACAACCACACATTCCAATTTACAACGATGAAACAACAAAAACCTGTATTGGTTCCTTTCAATCCTATAATGTTGTTCCAGTTTCCCAGTGATTCACATTCCATGGGATGGATATGATCAACTTGTGATTCAATCCATACATCCCAGTGCACCACAATGTGTATGATTTCATTTGTGGGCTCAGAATATGTGCATTAACCAAATCAAATGAGATTCAGATGGAATGAGTGTATCCCTGTATTCTAGTTACTCATGCTGAGATACATCCTGTTATGCAGTCAGTTGGACTAAAGATGTACGGTGCACATTTTAGGACATCCACAAGACATGTCCATTAATATGAAAGCTTGGTGCAATAAAGTTAGTCAAGTCCTCCTCCGCCTCAGATCTTACAAGGCTAATGCATCATATAAACACTACCACCCTGGAACAAGGACTTGGCACCGTGGAACAAGGACTTGGCACCCTGGAACAAGGACTTGGCACCCTGCCATCCCCTCCCTCTCTCTTATCTCAAGGCAGGGAGGTGACCTACTGAATAGCTCCACGTGTTGGGTAGCGTCTATGCAGGTTTATTCTCATTCATAGACAGTACGTCGACGTAAACATGTCCGCCGTTTTCCTCCGTTCCGTACAACAGCATGTCACATGGGGAACATCTACATTGGTTTAAGCCTGTTCATTCAATTCAGGATACTTCATTTATCCCACAGGGGGAAATTATGTAGACAGGAGTGCATATACAGTTCGTACATATATGTTGGATGTAAAAATATATGTTGGATGTAAAACAAATACCTATCTGTATGTTCTGCCGTTTCTATTTACCTAACGTGATGGATGAAGTGATATCACTCAATGGAAACAACCATTCTCAAATATAATTGTCAGACACTCAAACAACGTTGAAAAGAACTCTTCATCCAAACCTACATGTGCCCCTGAAGCCTTAAGACAATGTGCTTGTGCTCACTGGGAAAACATCTGAAGCTCTTTTGTAGATCCTATTGATTAACAATATACTGACTGACTGTTCAGTGCAAAAACATGTCCTGTACTGAAGCAGCTTTGTAGGTAAATACAAGTCAACCACTTCCCTCTTCTGAGTTCATACTCGGGTTAACCTTGAGAAATTGATCCAAAGCTTTGTTTGTTTTGATTGACTTCCAATAACTGAGCAAATGGAAAAAACCTTGTGTTGTGTAGGCCTAACAGTGACATCACACACGCACGCACACACACACACACACGTACACACACACACCCGCACACACGCACACACACACACACGCACACACACACGCCCCCTGCCAAACCACACACAAAGTTTACTCTAAAAGCCCCTAAATCAAACAGCGGTAGTGACTTGGATTTGTTTCCCCAGTTCCCTCTAGCACTTCCTCTAGAGTCTGCTAGGGAAACTTTGATTGACAGCTGGGGGGAGGGACCTTGTCCACTCCCAACACACAGAGGTCTGGGATGAATTATCATCGCCATGGAGACTATCAGTGGGAGGGTTTCGGCTTGCTCCAGTTTTCGGAGGGGCTCTTGACTGCACTCCTGCAGCTGTTGTATCCCTCCAACACAATGACACACACTCCTGCAAGCATATATGCACACGCAGGCACACACACACACACACACACATACATACATACATACCTGAGACAAGTTTGGGGTCTCCCCTCACCCTTCCTCTCCCTAAACGGGGGCCCTTTGACCCTCCAGCTGTGACCAAACTGCAACTCATTCATAAATAACCCCTCTGACAGCACACACACACACACACACACACACACACAAACACAGCAGGGGTTATTGAGCTCATGGCTTGGTTAACTTGCATCTTAACGTTGGCATTGTGGAGCAAGTTGAGTAATGCTTCTAGGACCACACTTTAATCATGTGCAGTCATCACATTTCAGAGAGTTGCATACATCATGGACTAGATGTTGGTTATGGAGCAGATAATTTCATGTTTACATAACCGGATAATGATTTCATTGATGGAGCTCAACTCCACGTTTATGGATTTAAATACCGCCCTGGGTCGTGTTCATTAGGCTAGAAATAAAGGAAATGGACTGAAACAGAGCGCCTACCTGTCCTGAACTTAGTTTTTTGTTGTAAAACGTTTTGCTACAGTGTGCCCTACTAAATAGGACCCTGGTGTTTCGTAGAGTAACACCCCCTTTACACCTCTAGCTTGAAGTTCCTTAGAGAGCTTCAAGTTCCTCGGTGTCCACATCACTAAGGAATGAACATGATCCACACAGATCAACACAGTCATGAAGAAGGCACAGCAACGCATGGGCCCTCAGATCTTGACTGACTGAATCACCGCCTGGTATGGTAACTGCTTGGCATCTGACCACAAGGCACTAGAGGGTACTGCGTACGGCCCACTACATCACTGGGGCCGAGCTCCCTGCCATCCATGACCTCTATACCAAGCGGTCAGAGGAAGGCCCTAAAAATTGTAAAAGACTCCAGGCACCCAAGTCAAAGACAGTTTTCTCTACTACCGCACGGCAAGCGGTACCGATGCACCAAGTCTGCAACAAACAGAACCCTGAACAGTTTCTACCCCCAAGCCATATGACTGCTAAATCGTTAACCAAATAGCTACATTTTAGTCATTTAGCAGACGCTCTTATCCAGAGCGACTTACATGAGCAATTAGGGTTAAGTGCCTTGCTTAAGGGCACATCGACAGATTTTTCACCTAGTCGGCTCGGGGATTAGAACCAGCGACCTTTCGGTTACTGGCACAACGCTCTTACCCACTAAGCTACCCGGACTATCGGCATTAACCCCCTTTTGCGCTAACTCTTTTGTAACAGACTTGTCTTTCCATTCATCAAATGGCCGCTGCACAGTTTGGATTGATTGATTTTATTTGTCAGTAAAAAAAAAAATACACAGTACATTTTAGTCATTTAGCAGACGCTCTTATCCAGAGCAACTTACAGTTAGTGAGTGCATACATTTTTCATACTGGCCCCCCATGGGAATCGAACCCACAACCCTGGCGTTGCAAGCGCCATGCTCTACCAACTGAGCTACAGGAGGCTATAGTACCAGTCAAAAGTTTGGACACACCTCCTCATTCCAGGGTTTTTCTTTATTTTTACTATTTTCTACATTGTAGAATAATAGTGAAGACATCAAAACTATGAAATAACACATATGGAATCATGTATTAACCAAAAAAAGTGTTAAACAAATCAAAAATATATTTTATATTTGAGATTCTTCAAATAGCCACCCTTTGCCTTTATGACAGCTTTGCACACTCTTGGCATTAATTGTACTGATACAAAAATATCCCACTTTGTCTTTAGCGTATTTAGTTTTGTCGCCATTTTGGTCTACATTTTTTATCCGACATGTCCTTTACTGGCATAAAACGGATGGATGGGAACCTGGTTAATGTCAGGCCATTTTTAGGATGCTGGAATTATATTTTGGACGAACGTGCAAAATTGTGACTGGTTGTGACTGGTTGTGTTTATGCCTCATATGAAAGGTAATAAATGTTTAAAAGTTACATTATTTAGGCTATATTAAAGCGTTAGGTTCTAGGTGCTAGGCTATATTAAAGGTTCTAGGTGCGTGAGGAATAGCCGCTCGGATTGGAGAGGAGGCGTGCGTTAAAACTTTCCTGAATAAATGGGCCTGCCGGGAGTATATATGGCCACATTATTATAGGAGGACTTGGGAGAATGATGATCTGCAACAGACAGCGTATCTCAGTATCAGAAGTAAAAATACAGTCAGACTGGCCTGCTACTGTGCCCTTCTAGACCTTATAAACTGTCCAGAGTAGGACCCACAACTGATCCAAATGGAATGAAACAATTCAAATCACAAGGGCTTTGGCGCTGTTATTCAAATGACATTTTCACTGCAGCCTAGAGTAGAATTCTGTACTCACTTGAAAACAATAATGCAATTATTCATTGCATTGTAGTGTTGTAGACTAGTTTAGTTTGGATAATTGCATTGTCCCTAAACAAGACCAATAGGGGGAGCTTTTTGAGCTGCGTGTCACGTCTTCACTGTTCTTTCATGTGCAATGATGTACCTGGTCAGCTGCCTATCAGCTATTCCTCTATCTTGTGGATTCATATAGAAAATTGCTTTGAATGCTTTTATGTGTGGTATGATTGCTAGTTAACCCTACCACGATTGTCACTATGAATGGTGGATAGAGGGCAGGACAGACAGCTAGACTGGTACACTATATTGACCTGTGGTATAGTCAAAGTGTAATGCATAAGGGAAGTACCAAAAATAGGGGAGGTGCATGCAAGCAGATGAGGAAATTTGGCTTACACCCCAGTAAATGTAGAACTGTCCCTTACCCCCTACCTTTATGTACATATCTACCTCAATGACCTTGTACCCCTGCACATCGATTCGGTGCTGGTACCTCGTGTATATAGCCTAGTTATCGTTACTCATTGTGTATTTATTCCTCCTGTTATTATGTTTAAATGTGTAAGCATTTCACTGACAGTTGTTTATGAAGCATGTAACAAATACCATTTTATTTTATTATCTAGCAGCTGCTCCCCTAGTAGTCACACCAGACTGCTAGCATTCTGTTCTGTCACCACCTACACAATAACAATCAGATCACTGTCTGTCTGCCCCGTTTCCCTCTGAACCGTAACCTTCCCTCTTCCTCCTCTCATCACCGTCACTGCAGTACATCAACACCTCTCATCACCGTCACTGCAGTACATCAACACCATCTCAACACCTCATCACTGTCACTGCAGTACATCAACACCATCTCAACACCTCTCATCACTGCAGTACATCAACACCATCTCAACACCTCTCATCACCGTCACTGCAGTACATCAACACCTCTCATCACTGCAGTACATCAACACCTCTCATCACTGCAGTACATCAACACCATCTCAACACCTCTCAGCACCATCACTGCAGTACATCAACACCTCTCATCACTGCAGTACATCAACACCATCTCAACACCTCTCAGCACCATCACTGCAGTACATCAACACCTCTCATCACTGCAGTACATCAACACCATCTCAACACCTCTCAGCACCATCACTGCAGTACATCAACACCATCTCAACACCTCTCATCACCGTCACTGCAGTACATCAACACCTCTCATCACTGCAGTACATCAACACCTCTCATCACTGCAGTACATCAACACCATCTCAACACCTCTCAGCACCATCACTGCAGTACATCAACACCTCTCAGCACCATCACTGCAGTACATCAACACCATCTCAACACCTCTCATCACCGTCACTGCAGTACATCAACACCATCTCAACACCTCATCACTGTTACTGCAGTACATCAACACCTCTCAGCACCATCACTGCAGTACATCAACACCATCTCAACACCTCTCAGCACCATCACTGCAGTATATCAACACCTCTCAGCACCATCACTGCAGTACATCAACACCATCTCAACACCTCTCAGCACCATCACTGCAGTACATCAACACCATCTCAACACCTCTCAGCACCATCACTGCAGTATATCAACACCTCTCAGCACCATCACTGCAGTACATCAACACCATCTCAACACCTCTCATCACCGTCACTGCAGTACATCAACACCCCTCATTCACAAATCTTCCCCCAAGTCTTTTTTTTAATGTATTTATTTATTTCACCTTTATTTAACCAGGTAAACCAGTTGAGAACAGGTCTTGCACCCCATTGCCTCTTGTCCTCTCCCCCACTTCCCAAAGCTCTTCCTCCACCCTCCCTCCCTACGAAGTCTTACGCCCTTCCCCCATCCCCTGAAAGTGATCCCACCCTCCCCTCTCCAAATGTGTCTTACCCTTCCTACCCCTATGGCACTGATGAAGCCCAGATGAGTGAAATGTTTGTCCTGTAAAATGAAATAACTATTGTGTGGACCTTCCCACTTCTCTCTATTACCCCTCCTCCCCCTTCTTCACCCGACTCCCAGCCTCCTCCAAAGTCTCCCCCTCCCCTCACCAGGTTCTTGAAGAGTGCGGTGACCTCCCTGGTGAAGACGGCCATGTTGAGGAACCCTGTGGACACCTCGTTGTTGTCCTGGGTCAGGTGACTGTTCCCCAGATTCTCCAGCACCTCAATGTACTGCTCCTTGTTCTCCGTGTGACCTAGAACCACAAAACACACTTCATTGTTGTTGCCGTCTTTTGAGAGCTTTCTCTCCCTCTCTCTCCCAGCGGTGCCACTGCTCTCTGACTACGGCCTGTCAACATAAACAAAACAAGAGGTTATTAGGTCATGACCCAAGAGAAAGTGACCACATATACCCTTTCATATACCCTTTCATATACCCTTTCATATACCCTTTTCACACTACTGAGCAGAGCTTTACCAGCTGTAATAGTTGGGATTAAAGTATTTTTGAGTACCTGTCTCCATCTTTCTAGCACGGGTGCCAGTCTGTTTGTGCTTTAGCCAGGTCCTTTGTCAAAGGTCTGGCATGGTAACGACAGTGGGAGCAGTAACCGCCTGGCACCTAGCCTACAGCATGGTAACGACAGTGGGAGCAGTAACAGCCTGGCACCTAGCCCATGGTCCGCAGTGCCTACAGCATGGGGGGTAACGACAGTGGAGCAGTAACGCGCCTGGCAAACCTAGCCTCTGCATGGTAACGCCAGTGGGAGCAGTAACCGCCTGGCACTAGTCCTACAGCATGGTAACGACAGTGGAGCAGTACAGCCCTGGCACCTAGCCTACATCATGGTAACGACAGTGGGAGGCATAACCGCCTGGCACCTAGCCTACAGCATGGTAACGACAGTGGGAGCAGTAACCGCCTGGCACCTAGCCTACAGCATGGTAACGACAGTGGGAGCAGTAACCGCCTGGCACCTAGCCTACAGCATGGTAACGACAGTGGGAGCAGTAACCGCCTTGACCTAGCTCAGCATGGGTAACGACAGTGGGAGCAGTAACCGCCTGGCACCTAGCCTACAGCATGGTAACGACAGTGGGAGCAGTAACAGCCTGGCACCTAGCCTACAGCATGGTAACGACAGTGGGAGCAGTAACAGCCTGGCACCTAGCCTACAGCATGGTAACGACAGTGGGAGCAGTAACCGCCTGGCACCTAGTCACCTAGCCTACAGCATGGTAACGACAGTGGAGCAAACAGCCTGGCACCCTAGGCCTACATCCATGGTAACGACAGTGGGAGCAGTAACGCTGGCACCTAGCCTACAGCAGTAACGACAGTGGGAGCATTTAACCGCCTGCACCTAGCCTACACATGGTACACAGTGGACATTATGCACATCAGGATGGCTTACCTGCCTAAGCATGTAACGAAGTGGGAGCATAACCTGGCACCAGCCTACAGTTTTCAAGTAATGGTTACTCTACATATGCATCATGAGGCTTACTGTAATAGTCTGCTTTGTTAAAATGGTCGTGCTCAGTCTTTAATGTTGTGTGTGTGTGTGTGTGTGTGCGGCTGCATGCTAACCGCAGGTGTGTTCACAGCAACAAAAACCTGACGAGCAGCACAACGCTGACTAACATCTCTGAGGAAGATCATTAATGTCCCCCTGTAGAGAGGAAGCGAGAGAGAGAGAGAGAGAGAGAGAGAGAGAGAGAGAGAGAGAGAGAGAGAGACAGAGACAGAGACAGAGAGAGAGAGAGAGAGAGAGAGAGAGAGAGAGAAAGAAAGGGATGGTGAGCCAACCAACCAACCACATACTGTATCACTCACGGCTGATTGAGGGGTTCTGAATCAGCCAGCCACTAACAACGAACAGGAAAAGAGGGGCCCCCCTTAGCCTTACTGGAATGGAACGGCCCCATATGATTCCAGTTAAGAGGGATAGAGAAAGTGGGGGTTTAGAGGGGGGATGGGGGCTGTGTGGAGAGAAGTGGGGTTGGGGTATCTCTGTACTGACTGACACAAACATAATTTCCTAACTCTGTTTCTCTCCGACTTAAATCTGACAGTTAAACCCCGCAAATAGAAAACAGACTATTTCACAGTTCAGTAAGATGAAAAATAACTTATTTTTGAATGTGTTCATCCATGTTTGCTGTATGTTGTTAGCATTGTGAATCTGGTGAGTAGTTGCTTGGTCACATCAGTATGAAGTAGTACTAGTGGTAGTAGTAGTAGTAGAACTAGTGGTAGTAGTAGTAGTAGTAGTGGTAGTAGTAATAGTACTAGTGGTAGTAGTAGTAGTAGTATTAGAACTAGTGGTAGTAGTAGTAGTAGTGGTAGTAGTAATAGTACTAGTGGTAGTAGTAGTAATAGTACTAGTGGTAGTAGTAGTAGTGGTGGTAGTAGTAGTGGTTGTAGGGATGTAGCTCAGTTGGTAGAGCATGGCGTTTGCAACGCCAGGGTTGTGGGTTTGATTCCCACGGGGGGCCAGTATGAAAAATACAAAAAATAATGTATGCACTCACTAACTGTAAGTCGCTCTGGATAAGAGCGTCTGCTAAATGACTAAAATGTAGTAGTAGTAGTAGTAGTAGTACTCAAAGTCCCCAGATTCTGAATCTACATAATAAAGAAAGTCAACTGTCCTCGTTTGTCCAAAATCTGATAGAATACTGTATGAGCTACTTTACAGTTGGACTCAGTCAACATCAACATGTTGATCATTCCAACCATCCTGCCAACAAAGCCACAGTGTGTGGTATGTAGGTGGACAGTGGGCACACGCTCCTATGCATCTACATTCTAGACACACATTTCATTTTACATTTCAATCATTTAGCAGACGCAATTAGGGTTAAGTGCCTTGCTTAAGGGCACATCGACAGATTTTTCACCTAGTCGGCTCGGGGATTAGAATCAGCAACCTTTCGGTTACTGGCACAAAGCTCTTACCCACTAAGCTACCTGCCACACACACACACGCGCGCGCCTCCGCACGCACACACACCTTCCTTCGGCCTCCTTGACCACTGAAGTTTGGTGCGTTGGTGTCTGAAATGAACCACGCCAGTCTAAACAGCCAACACTGAGAGGACATTGTCACACACACACACACATACACTGTCAGACAGGCCGTTCAGTACGGAGACCTCGGTTCGGTCACCACTGTGAACCTGAAAGAATACGTTTAAAAAATATATAACAAATAAAAACACTAGACCTATAGGTTATGCCTCTTGAGTAAAACTGAGCTGAAAAAAAACATTTCAGGCTATTCTGTTAAAACAACTAGTTGTAAAACAAACAACTTTGTTATCAAAATTCAACTCTTTAATTGGAGCATTTCAAACTGTCCTTTTGTGAGGCGCAGCCATCGTTTAAATCTCCAGTTTGGGAACATTTTGGCTTCCCAGTAGATTACAACGGCGATGGACAGAGAGAGTATGTCGCCACTGCTCAACGAGAATAGCCTATGCAGCTGCCAACACCTCAAACATGTTGACACATTTACGTCGACATCACCCCAGTATTCCCCAGGTTTCAGCACCTCGTGAAAGTGCTCGAGCCACGTTACGAACTTCGCCCTCGCGCACCCATTTCAGCAAACGGGTAGTACCCCCTCTATATAAGCAGGCTAAAGCCGAAGTTGTCAGTGAATTGGCCGATGCACCCAGTGTAGCGCTTACTACAGACGGATGGCCCTCCAGGGCTACAGACCGCTACTTAACAGTGACAGCCCATCACATGACCCCGGAGCGGGAAATGAGAAGTACCGCGCTACAGACACGCCCCCTTTATGAGAGTCAGTGCGCATATTTTTCTCTCTGTAAGAAAACATTATAGCATAGACCTATACAATGTCTGAGCCATGTTTACATATTGATTTCACATGCATATTGCACTTTATTTTAGTGTTGTTGAGTAATCGTGTGTTTTCATTTAAGAAAATACCAAGTGTTGGTACTCCTGTTGGTGCTCTCATCAGACATTATATGACTCATGATCATATATGGAGTCAGGAATACCAACACTTTGGATTTCTTAAATAAACCAAAATTAACTACAGTAACTGTTGGCAATTAATTTTCCTACTCTACCGAAACGTGACCCCAAAACCGCAATACATACCGAACCGTGCGTTTGATGAACCTTTACACCCCAGACAGACAGACAGACAGACAGACAGACAGACAGACAGACAGACAGACAGACAGACAGACAGACAGACAGACAGGGTGGAGCGGCTCAGCCAACACATCACATAGAACCAATACAACGACACCATCCACAAACACACCTTAGCCATAATGAGCCCTCATCCCACGCCCTAGTCACATGACTAACAAAGGAGCCTAACAAAAAAACAATGCCCACACAAGCCACGTGATGTCATTTATAAGGGAATTGGCAGCCATTTTGAAAATACTGCTGATCAACACTTTACTTAAAGCCTGTCGGTATAATGCGTTATAACTTGTTATAAAGATGTATGAGCCTTTATAATGTATTATAAAAAGGCTTATAATGCAGTGTGTGTATGGCCACTTACTTAGTCCAGAGCTGTGGATGGCCTTGACCATCTTCTTCATCCTCTGTAAGGTGCTCTGGTCCACCTCTAAGGACTGCAACACAGAAAGAGAGGAGAAGAGACTTAAGGAAACATGTATACTTCACATGTATTGAGCAGTATAGGGTTTCAGGAAGGCAGATCTTTCCCTATGAGGTAAATCCTAACTTCAGATCGGTCTGTCCATGTAACTCTGACTTTGATGTAAATCATGTATTGATGATGTCAATGGGAGAAAATCTAATATTACACCACAGACCTCAAGTTAGGATTTCACCTAGTAGGACTAAGAAACAGCAACGGTGAAAAAAAATGTAACCTGTCGAACAGTCTCTAGGGAAAACACACTTTCATTGACTTTCTAGCAGCGGTCATGACGACGGTAAAGTTCTCACGCCATGACTAATGTTAAGTGAACAGGTGAATCAGCAGTTAGTCCGTCTAGCACCGTCACATTTGCCATCATTGGGCTGATGATGTCACTCATACACCAACCACCGACCTCACCTGTCGTTATTTCAGGTTCACCTCGCTTTGACATGTTGAAACTTCGCTCTGCTCTGTTTGCTTTAGAACATTGATATTCAAATCTTACCCACGAGGTCCGGACTACTGCTGGTTTTCTGTTCTACCTGATAATTAATTGCACCAAGCTGGTGTGCCAGGTCTAAATCAGTCCCCTGATTAGAAGGAAGAATGAAAATTAAAAAAGCAGTGGAACTGGCTTCGAGGTCCAGATTTGCTAGCTACAAAATAGTTTTTATAAGGATTATTAAAGTTACAGTTACTCGACCAGTGGTGGTTAGTGTTCATGTAGCATAACAACAGCCCTTGCGGGGGACTTCCCATGTTTTATTTGTCAAATTTAAAAGGGCATGGGACTTTAAACTGTATGGAAAGACTTGGAAAATGGCCTTATTTTCCACTGTTTCACAGTCCACCACTGAGCTGGGCCATGTAGGAGTCAGGGCAAGACATTGTGGTCAAAGGGAAAAGGTAATGTCTGAAACTCTTATGCTTCAATGTCATAAATGTGTTTACTTAAGTCTATGAGACAGTCTGGGTGAAGGTGATGTGTCCAATATGATGTTTCCTATAAGCAAAAGACATTGACAATACGTATTTATGGTTGAAAGAGGTAATGAGGTAATGTCGCCATTTAACAAAGGGATAACCTTTTTAAAACCTCTCCTTGTACACAGAGTCCAAGTACAGGCCAGACCACCATGGTGCAGTAGACTGTAGAACAGTTACAACACACCCTGTTACGGTAAATCAAAAGGTATGTTACGTTTCCTAACAGTCTTTAAACCCCCACCCCCAGCATGCATTTAGCATAAAACCTAAGGTACTGAGGACCAAACGTTGTGGTTCACCCCAGCTGTGTCCCGTCTGAGATCCTGAGGACCTTGTGGTTCATCCCTGCTGTGTCCTGTCTGAGATCCTGAGGACCTTGTGGTTCATCCCTGCTGTGTCCTGTCTGAGATCCTGAGGACCTTGTGGTTCATCCCTGCTGTGTCCTGTCTGCTGACACTCTGTCTTACGCACACAGAAGCCAGAGCTGCTGTAATAATAGAGAAACAGACAGTAGAGGAAAGATGCCATTGTCTGTGGAGCATACACCCAGTCTGTCTCAATGGTAACAGATTTATTTATGGGTGTAACTGTTTTGCTCTTCTCTCAAGAGTCTAGGGAATGTTGGTGTGTGTGTCCTTGATTGTGTGTGTGTCACTGTCAACCCATGGTCAGGCAGCACAGCAGGAATTCCTGTCTTCAGGGATATCTGATCCTATTAACCTGCTGCTGGCATGAGGACAGATTTGTTGAAGAACCACAAGCCCTTGGTCTCTCTCTCTCTCTCTCTCTCTCTCTCTCTCTCTCACTCACATCAAGGGTAACAAGCAGCAGTAGGATGCCACAGCCAGCCCAACCACTATAGCCATAACACCCAGCCTCCTCCAAAACACCATGACCTAATAGTGGGATCACTCCGCCCTTGATACCCAGCCAATGGGGAACACACTATGCTTACAGTACATATTCGTAAATGGCCCTGATCACGTTGCATTAAAATGGATTCTCTCCATAGCTGCCCTGCAATGGGTTCAAATCCTAATATTAATTAGCTTTAGCCTACATCGAGTGGCGGGCACTTTTGGGACTTTCCTATTGATTCCATTGCACCAGGCAAGCTCAATCAAGCCCAGCTAAAGTATTTGAAATAATTTCCAATAGTATTTGAACCCAGGTCTGGTGTGGGAGTCGGATTCCAAAACGGCCTCTCCCAGCTATGTTTCCAGACTGTCGGAACTATAAATAATGACATTTGTCATATAGAGAAATGGTTGGACTGGCGCGTCCAACCCCAGGGTATCTCTCTGGCTTCCCTCTCTTTTGTGATGGTTATCAGGCAGTGGGAGAAATGCCATACACAGTGCGTGTGCATGTGTGCGTGTGTGTGTGTGGTGATGTGTGTGTGTGTCCATCCAACAGCCCTTAACCTAAACATACTGACAGAGATACACAAACAGACTTTAGCGTCCAGCAGTACTGTTCAGTTTGGAGAGATGGCCAGGAGCCCAGTGATGTGTCATATCATCTTAAAAGGGGCAATCTGTAGTTGTTACATCCATTGTTGGACTTATAAATGAACAATAAACCCATAGAATCTTGAAGAATGTAACTTATAATGCCTCAAGAGCTTAGTTCAACTGTCCTACCCCATCAGAACCCAGAATAGAAGCTTGTTTTACTCCAATGTTTGTAAACAATGTAAACCTCAAAACATGGTTAAAACTATCATGTTGATATCATGGATGATCAGTCCTTGCATCCATAGCTCTGTCTATGAATTTGAGACTGGTTACATTTCTCCAGGCCCATCCCTCAGCTTAAAGAAAATCTGAACAGAGACGGGGTGCCTGCTTTGTTATCAATTAAACTGCGGATTGGCAATTTAAAACGTGTCATATATCATATCATGACTACACAACTGAAGTGTGTGTGAGGTTATATATATATAGTTGTTTATTTTTTTCCCCCATATTTTCTTTCTTTGGACTTTCACTGGGGCATTTCAGACCACTGAGGTTTATTTGGATCATAGAGATATATTCATGAACAAAGCTTAGAGTGTGTGTGTGTGTGTGTGTGTGTGTGTGTGTGGTGTGTGTGTGTGTGTGTGTGTGTGTGTGTGTGTGTGTGTGTGTGTGTGTGTGTGTGTGTGGTCACAGTCAGCAGCCAGCTTCTCTCGCTGATTCATCCAGAATTTGAGAAGCCTTGAAACCACAGTCGGAGGATAACTGGATTCAAACAAACATTAACACACACATTAACCCAAACAGGCCTTGAGGCTGTGTTCCTTCCACCAAACCCACTGTCCTTCACCCCCCCCCACCCCACCCACACACACACACACACACACACCAATCCTTCCTAGCCGTCCACACTCCAAACGAGTGCCGTCTGGCTGGCCTGCTGTGTTTGTTTTCCGGTGGTCCTGCTGTAAGCTCAGCCGGGTCATCCCAGTCCAGAACCCCATAGAGCCCCAGTCAGAGCCCTCAGGAACTGAGCTAATTAAAGAGGCTCTGCCATAATCCCTTCAGGAAGCCCTGCCAGAGATGTGCTGTGCAGCCAAGGGCTTCTAGCGGGGCTGATTGGCTCTTTTAGCCTAGCCCTGCTGTGAGGAAACCAGCCATGGGATTATGCTGAGTCAACATTTGAGGAAGGTTGTGGAAAGGTTGTTTTGGGGTTGGGATTCAGTCTATGGAGAATGTCATTCTCCTAGCCTTGCTGTGACAAAATCAACGTTTGGAGAAGGTTGTGAGAAAGTTGTGGTAGTGTTTGGCTTTGGATTCATTCAGTCTGGCAGGTCTGCCATGCCAAGTCTGAAGAGCATTAGTCAAACGTGTTGCAGCCAGGATTGCGTTGCGCTTCTATTGCCAGGAGTTTTATCCATCCTGATTATGTAACTGATGAGGAACAGACATTTCATGTCATTTCATGTGAATGGCTGAAAGCAGAAACAGACATTTTATTTCATCCCCCACCCTTCAGTTCAGCCTCTCCAATTATAGAGGCCATCAACTCTTCTAGCTGACAAGTTTCCAATAACAACCAGATTTCAAGAGCAGTGTGTCCTCTGTGCTACAGCTTTCTCCAATAGCGAGTCAACTCTGACGTTTCCCTGTGTCATTTTTCACAGTTCCATGCATTGCTAGACGATCCTAACCATCATAATCACTCCCTTCTCCTATAACAGCTAAGATCTCCCTAACTAAGAACTGCCTTGAGGAGAGCCTACTTACTCCTAATCTCACGTTGACATCGAAGTTCAGTAAAATTCGGTCATCAAGACCAGCCAATAGAGATCAAAGCTTTGCATCTTCAGCTGTTGCCATTCATAGCTCAAGATTTTGACGAAGGCTCGGACGATTATTGCCCATCTGAACATCTGTTCCACAATGGTCTCTCAAACAGTTCATGACAGAGACCATGAGAGACTATTCCTCAGTAGTCAATGTCTCAGTGGGTATGGTACTGGTATTTTATTAGAATCCCCATTAGCTGTTGCAAAAGCCACAGCTACTCTTCCTGGGGTCCACACAGATCATGAAATATGACATAATACAGACCATTAATAGACAAGAACTTCTCAAGGACAGAACTACATCAATTTAAAAATAGCATACTTAGCCTACATATCAATACATACACACAAAATATCTAGGTCAAATAGGGGAGCGGCGTTGTGCCGTGAGGTGTTGCTTTATCTGTTTTCTGAAACCAGGTTTGCTGTTCATTTGAGCAATATGAGATGGGAGTTCCATGCAATAATGGCTCTGTATAATACTGTACGCTTTCTTGAATTTGTTCTGGATTTGGGGACTGTGAAAAGACCTCTGGTGGCATGTCTGGTGGGGTAAGTGTGATGGTCAGAGCTGTGCGTAAGTTGTCTATGCAAACAGTTTGGAATTTTCAACACATTAATGTTTCTTAGAAAAAGAAGAAGTGATGCAGTCAGTCTCTCCTCGACTCTTAGCCAAGAGAGACTGGCATGCATAGTATTTATATCAGCCCTCTGATTACAATGAAGAGCAAGACGTGCCGCTCTGTTCTGGGTTAGCTGCAGCTTAACTAGGTATTTCTTAGCAGCACTTGACCTATGACAACCTACGACTGGACAATAATCAAGATAAGACTAAACTAGAGTCTGCAGGACTTGCTTTGTGGAGTGTGGTGTCAAAAAAGCAGAGCATCTCTTTATTACGGACAGACCTCTCCCCATCTTCACAACCATTGAATCTATATATTTTGACCATTACAGTTTACAATCTAAGGTAACACCAAGTAATTTAGTGTCCTCAACTTGTTCAACAGGCACACCATTCATTACCAGATTCAGCTGAGGTCTAGTGCTTAGGGAATGATTTGTACCAAATCCAATGCTCTTAGTTTTAGAGATGTTCAGGACCAGTTTATTACTGGCCACCCATTCCAAAACTGACTGCAACTCTTTGGTAAGGGTTTCAGTGACTTCATTAGCTGTGGTTGCTGACATGTATATGGTTGAATCATCAGCATACATGGACACACAGGTTTTGTTTAATGCCAGTGGCGTGTCATTGGTAAAGAAAACCCCCTGAGTTATAGTAGATATATAGCTCTGAATCCACAATATGGCAGAGGTTGAAAAGCCATAATACATATGTTTTCTCAACAACAGCTTATGGTCAATAATATCAAAGGCTGCACTGAAATCTAACAGTACAGCTCCCACAATCTTCTTACAGTCAATTTCTTTCAACCAATCATCAGTCATTTGTGTCAGTGCAGTAAATGTTGAGTGCCCTTCTCTATAAGCATCCTGAAAGTCTGTTGTCAATTTGTTTTACAGAGAAATTGCATTGTATTTGGTCAAACAGTTTGCTAAGAGCTGGCAGCAAGCTGATTGGTCTGCTGTTAGAACCAGTAAAGGCCGCTTTACCACTCTTGGGTAGCGGAATTACTTTGGCTTCCCTCCAGGCCTGAGGACAAACACCTTCCTCTAGACTCAGATGAAATATATGACAGATACAGTGCATTCGGAAAGTATTCAGACCTCTTCCCTTTTTCCACATGTTGTTACGTTACAGCCTTGTTCTAAAATTGATTAAATTAAGTTTTCCCTCATCAATCTACACACAATAACCCATAACGACAAAGCAAAAACTGTTTTTTAGAAATAAAAAATAAAAAACCTTATTTACATAAGTATTCAGACCCTTTGCTATGAGAATCGAAATTGAGCTCAGGTGAATCCTGTTTCCATTGATCATCCTTGAGATGTTTCTACAACTTGATTGGAGTCCACCTGTGATAAATTCAATTGATTGTACATGATTTGGAAAGGCACACACCTGTCTATATAAGGTCCCATGGTTGACAGTGCATGTCAGAGCAAAAACCAAGCCATGAGGTCGAAGGAATTGTCCGTAGAGCTCCGAGACAGGATTGTGTCGAGGCACCGATCTGTGGAAGGGTACTAAAACATTTCTGCAGCATTAAATGGAAGAAGTTTGGAACCAGCAAGACTCTTCCTAGAGCTGGCCGCCCAGCCAAACTGAGCAATCGGGGGAGAAGGGCCTTGGTCAGGGAGGTGACCAAGAACCCGATGGTCACTCTGACAGAGCTCCATAGTTCCTCTGTGGAGATGGGAGAACCTTTCAGAAGGAAAACCATCTCAGCAGCTCTCCACCAATCAGGCCTTAATGGTAGAGTGGCCAGACGGAAGCCATTCCTGAGTAAAAGGCACATGAGAGCCCGCTTGGAGTTTGCTAAAAAGGCACCTAAAGGATTCTCAGACCATGAGAAACAAGATTCTCTGGTCTGATGAAACCAAGATTGAACTCTTTGGCCTGAATGCTCAGCGTCACGTCTGGAGGAAACCTGGCACCATCCCTAA